TTAGCCGACCGAACGGGGAGATCTCCCCGTTCGGTCGGCTAAGTGTTAAGGTGATGATCACGGTGTTTGTAATACAGTCGAGACTTCTACCGTATCTATAAACAAATCCAAACTTTATTTCACGTTTTTACAAATATATAATGTACAAAGAGATAGTCGCTCCATCTCACTCGAGTACGTCCCCTTCGAGGTGACTCAATAACCTGTACTCCAAAAAGAACTGAACGTGGAAATAGTTTCAGTTCCTCAAAATTGCGAAGCTTATACAATACCTACTTGTTTCCTATGATGCGCACAGCGTTCTACTTGTCGTCGTAGCCTATCAAGATACATGATATTGCAATGTCTCCTGCCACCGTGGAATTACACACGAAACCCGAAAAGGGTCAAGACAGGTTATGAGAAATCCGACATCGTGTTATGTATGTACAATCACACATTATCGAGGTAACCTTAAATTGCGCGCGCCCCTGTTCATCTTTGCCAAACAAAATTGGAATTTTGAACCGCGTAAAGTGCAACACAATCTCGAGAACCAATTGAAAAGGCCAAATTGAAAATATAATAATTTTTTTTATTCCATTACGTTGTACGTTAGATACAATAATAATAATATTGATACAATATCAATCATTATTCTGCTCGTTTAATCACTGAATTATTGTACATTTATCTATCATATATAAATCTTTCAGGTAAGGATCATCGTACTCCCTTCGAGCATGGCTCGAGTGCTAAAACCAAGCTCGAAAGAAATCCAACGATCCTCGATCAACAACCTTTACATTATTATGAACGATCAGATCTGATGGAACATTCCACGTCCGCGATAAATCTTCGGTGCCGTGCTATCGAGGTATTCATTAGTCACATCCAGGAAAACATTCTTAAATCTGTTAAAAATTAAATACTAAAATGGTATTCTCTCGTTTCCTTCGGCTGGATAGACTTATCTTAAGTAACGTTTCTTTCTTCCGTTCGGCATTATTATGACTACGTTGAGCATTTCAATGAAGCAAACGGGTTGAGAAATTTTTTAACGAAATTCACTAAGTCACGTTTCCCTTTACAGGTTAAGTCCATTAAAGAGGGATCGTCTCAATGGAGAAGAGCAGTAATGGTCCATTTCTTTCGAATCAGAGCTGGTTAACATATCGAAAATAGGTTCTTTACCGGAACAAGTGTTCTGTGTCTGTAAAATACTTTACAATAATTGTCGGTGAGAAATTGATTGTTTAATACTACCGAGACACGATCGGAGGCATCTGTGATGGGAACGCAGCCAACTTGACATTAATGAATTTCATTGGAAAGTACCAGATGTCAAATCATTTCCCATATTCCACCATAAATTTCAATCGCTGTGATGCGCGTGTATTCTGTTTTTACGAACGCAGTACAAAAGCGTGTAACAAATGTACGATTTAGGTATCAATTGCATTTTTAAGTGTTCGTACTTTAATCTCTCGAGTGTCACTTCACAAGATGCTCTTTCCCCTGCATAATTAGAGCTGTCTACAAGTTATCATATTTTATTACTCGGTGCAAGATTCACCTAGTAGAACGTCACTTTCAAACACTCTTGAATAAGCACGAAGAGTTCCTTTGTGTTTCGTACCGAAATAGATCAAGAGCCCGAGTTCCTTTAATTCCATTACTTGAGGAAACCTTGTCGGCTTCGTACACTGGAGGGGTAAATTGTAATTATTCTTCCTAGAGCGAATGGCTAACTCGATGAGTGATCCGATTAAATTACATGCATTAATATAATATGTACAGAATTATCAAAAATAACGTGCTTCCGCGAAGACATGGCAAAACAACGAAACGCCTACAGTCGTCAACGTTTAAAAGTATGAATTAATAACAGATTTAAGGTTAACCGTAGCATAAGAGTCGACTGCGTGAGTAAAGGTGATGTCGGTAACGTAAACAGCCGCTAACTCGTTCGGACGACTAATCCTTTCAGCAGAATGTAGAGTGTGGAGTCGATACTGATCATTATTAGTCAATCGGCAGAAGGAGTAACGTAAATCGCGGGTACTGACGTCGCTCTTGAAACTACAACCACAAGTGCGGCCAGACATTTGCAATCTACAGAAAAGTCGCACAGATCGCAAGGTGTACACCGTTAATGGGATATGTGATTTGACTTTTCACCAGGTAAGTCTACCGAGGTAATATGATTTCTCACTTCTCTTCGATTTTAATCCAAAGGAACTACATTCTGGTAAAATAATCCACCGTCAGAGATGTGAGACACTCACCCAAACTGACAAAACGATGAGTTTGAAACCGACTCTTGTTCCGAAAACAAATGAGAAACTACATCGTCGATAAGCTCGCTCGGTAGAAAGTCAATTTAGGATCCCCTCGAAAACGTGCAACGTTACGACATCGGGACCAACATTCAGAGGTGGTTAAAAAATAACAGCGAAACCAAGAGGTCGAAACGCATCCATATGTACAGAGCACCTACCGCGTGTACAACCCGTGACCCGACGACATCCTGCGTGTACAAATACCAAAGCGATCTAATTACTCTAATTCACTTAAAGAGTACAGGGAGATGAAGTGTGATCGAGGAAACTCAAGTATACAGGAGGTCCATTGGTAGTGGTCTCAAACGGTTCCCACGCCACCTTTCGTCGAGTGCCACCATTACGCCGTTACTCTATGTACATCTACAGGTGTCGCGGCATTTGAACGTCTCTGTCGGTCTCATCGGGGCTAGAGGAGGAAAGGTTACGCTCTAAATGGCTTCCAAGGCTCTCGTTCGCATCTGAACCCCTATCAGGGGTGACTCCAGGGTAATTTTCACAGAAAATTTGCCTATAATACTCGGAGTGCCTCCCGACCCGAGCGTCTTGGAATCCACTTTTAGCAGCTACAAATAAATAAATAACGAACCACTCGAGAAACCGAGCGTCCTCGTCCTCGACAATCGGATACCTCGACGATACGATCAGTTCAAATTCCCTCCCCATAGTCGCGGTCACCGACGTTGATGCGATCAGGAGCCGATGTCACGCTGAAACCGAGGATTCTACTGTCCACCTTGAACATCTTTCCCTTCTTCGGCTTCTTCGACTTACTCTGCAGAAAATACGTGCGCATTTCAGACAACAAAATCATTAAAGGAGCTGAAGACACGGCCGAAAGAGCGCAAACGTCGACGCTTCCGGACAGGAGTTTATCCTGGCGATACCTTTTTATGACCGTTATTGAAACACGGCGTTGCATGCTCGGAAACGGTTTCACGGTACCTTAAGGTGACGTGAATGGCGTCGAAGAGGTTTTGTTCATGAAACTTTTCTCCGAACTGGGTTTACCGAATCGTTTCAAACATTACAATGTGAATATGAAGACTACAAGGAAGGTCCTGAAACTTATGAAATTTCAATTTTTTTTTTGTATTTGTTTGTAGGTGTTTTTACAATTTTGTATAAGAAAAGAAATTTCATGAGTGTCAGGAACTTCTTTATAGACCCCATATTCACGTTGTAAAATTTGAAACGATTCGGTACACCCAGTTTAACGAAGAGTTTCACGAACGACTGAGCTTTAGGATGTCACTTTCACGTCCCCTTTAAAACAACCAGAGAAAACGGGAAATACCTTAACTTCCTGAAACTCGGCAGGAGCGTTTGGATTGACAGCGGGTGCCGGCTTGCAGAGATCGTCGGCTTGAGCTTGTGGGCGCTGAGAAGATCGCCATTTACTACGCTTCTCCAGAAACTGTTTCGCGAATTCCATGGACTGCACTCCATCGCCGAGGTACATGCGAACGTACTCCTTGACCTCGTATGCCGGCTCGATGTCTCGAAGGAATACAATGAAGGTGGGAACTGTCGGAAAAAGGATGATTACTTCGGGTATATCCGTGACATGACGTGCATTACTTCCGTGATTATAATATTTTTGTTAAATAACACGTACTATCGAGAGACGTCTGAATACCACTCAGGGCTTTGGTACACCACTGGGTGAAGTCGTCGGGCCTGGCAGTGTTTTGCTCGAAGAGCTTCTTCACCAGTTCCTCCTCTCGCTTGTTTCTACTCTTGCTCACTTTGTTGTTCTGGTGTTGTTGCTGCTGCTGTTGCTGCTGCTGAGGGGGATTCTGCGAAATTTTCGTCGCTGGAGTAGGCTTCCCAGGCTGCTTGGCGTTCGTCGTGGACTTGGCCACGGTGGGGTCGTCCCAAAAACCACCAGCCCCATAACTATTGGCCCATGGGTGATTGTTGGTACCACTGGACGTGGCCCACGTCAGCGACTGGGAAGCCGTTCCCCATATCCCGGCGTTTTGGAGAGCAGCAGCGGCCTCCTTTTGGCCCGACTTCTCCTGCCGTTCCCTTTCCTGTTGCTAAAGTACAGTAATAGTTCTCAATCGTTTATATCCTGCAAGACACTCGAACCTTTAAACGAGAGTATGCGTTTACCAATGTTGGGTCCACTTCGGAAACTTGGTTCCCATTAGCCATAGACATTTCATTCAGACTTCAGGAGGGAGTTCCGTGATATTTACCTTCACCTTGGCTAGGCGCTCCTGTTCTTCTTGTTGAATCTGCGCCAGACTCTTCACTTGAGGCGCTTTACCGGAGGGGATTGCCTTTTCGGCCCACTTAAATTGCAGGCGTTTTGAAGAATCCGTTGCGGATGCCTCTTGCGCCGCTTCCGCTGCCTTCTGTTGTGCCAGTTGTTGTTGCGTGATTTGCTGAAGCCTCAGTTCCTCCTATTAAACGATAGAGCTATTTTAAACCGATTAAACCTTGATAGGATGGATACTTAAATTTCCGTTCTTATTTTTTATTTCACAACGACGATCTCGGGTACGAATCTGCTCTGTTAATGACTTACCGCCTTCTTCTCGCGTTCCAATCTTTGAATTTCAGCAAGCGAAGCATGCGCAGCTGGTGGTGGAGCATGAGGAGCCTGAGCCCAGGGTGCCTTGCTTCTCTCCTGTAATTTCCGAAGAGCTTCAGCTTCGCGTCTTCGCTGCTCCGTGCGTTTTGCCTGATCCTCTGCTTCCGCCTTTATACGTGCTTCCTCTTCCTTTCTGCGAAGAACGGTTAAAAAAAAAAAATTGTAAACATTCGAAGATACGTCGCGAGCGTTCAACGACTAAATTCACGTACTTGATTTTCTCCTCCTCCAGTTTTTTCTGTTCTTCCTCCAGCTTTCTTCGTTTTTCCTCCTCCTTCTTCTGCTTCTCCTCCAGTTTCTTAGCCTCCTCTCTCTTTCGCTTTTCCTCCTCCTGTTTTTTCCTATTCGTCTCCTCCTCTAGCTTCCTCTTTTCGTCGCGTTTCCGTTCCTCCTCCTTGCGTTTCTTCTCGTCCTTCTTCCGCTGTTCGTCCTCCTGCTTACGCTTCTCCTCCTCCTTTCGCCTTTTGTCCTCCTCCTTCCTCTTTTTCTCCTCCTCCTTGCGCTTAGTTTCTTCAGCCTGTTTGACCCGCTCCTCCTCCTTCTTCCTCAAGTTCTCCTCCTCAGCTTGCCTCTTCAATTCGTCCTGTTTTCTAAGCTCTTCTTTTTTCCTATCTTCTTGTAACCTAATATTCTGCTCTTCCTACAACCCGAAATCGAGTCCGGTTACAAATACACGTTAACTCTCCCCGAAAGCATTCACATAAAAATTCTACAATCCTATCCACTCACTAATATTTGTTGTTCAGTCTTCATTTCCTTAGTATATAAGTCCCACAGTGAACTGGGAATTTGCCCAGGTGGCATAGCAGGAATGGGCCCGACCTGAAAAACCAAAAATTCACGGTATAAAGTTATCTAAAAAAAATTACAGGCTCTACAAAACGGAACGTACTTTCATTATGCCAAACATGCATCCACGATAAGTTTTTTGAATTGAGAAATAAATATTTATCAAATCCAAGTACCGAACGCATGCCGTTCGCGCATGCTTTTTAATGTATTTCGTGCGAAACTCTGCCAAGTTTCCTGATACCGTTAAAATTCGATTCTTAACCCAGGGCTGATCAATTTACCTGAGCTAGCCAATTCTGCGCACTAAACTGCGGCGTAACCTGGGGCGCAGTCTGCGGCCAGACGGATTCCATCTGCGTGTTCGGATGTCCGTTAACGTTGACATTAAGCTGCCTCAATAACGATTTAATCGGATCCTCCTCCGGCGCCGGCGTGGTCGCAGTCGTTACACTCGGCTGTTGAACACTAGGTAGATTTTGCAGGCCACCCATCTGCTGAATGAGCTGTTGCATAGACGTGGTCGCTGCACTGTGAAGACTCGGCGGCAAATGGTTCTCGGTCGGCGCCTTCACCCGTTAATCGAGACCGATTACCATTTAATTACATATAAATAAACGCAGACGTCTTTCCTTATTTAACCTCTGCAAATATCTCACCCGTTGCATCTGCGTGAACAGCTGCATCACGGGATTCGGAGCTTGCGAGGCAATGGGAGGTACGAAGGGATTCGCCGGAACGTGCAGATCCGGTTCATCATTGGTCTGAAAAACATGCTGCAGGATCAGCTCGTTCTGCTCGGTGGGGTTCAGGGTAGCCCAATGCTCCGACTGAGAAAGTTTCGCGATGACCGCGGATCGCCGCTGCCTAAGCAGCATCTGTTGATTCTGCAGACTCTGCAGCAACTGTAGCTGCTGATACTGCAGCAAGAGCAGCGGATCCTCCATTCCCGTCTTGGACAAGGCAGCACCAGGAAGTCCGGCTGGCACCGTACTGGGTACGGTCGGCACGGGTGGTATCACCTGTTTAGCCATCTGAAAGACAAAGTGACCATGAATGTCCAGTAAAACGCTATCTACGGAATCACGCTTTCAGATTTCAGATGCTCACTTTCAATGGAGGTATAACTGGGCCCGGGGTGAACGGGATTCTGCCGCACATCTTTGTCAGATCACCCAACATCGTGTAGCCCTCGTCGCAGGTCCTCTTCACCATAAGTCCAGCAGTGAAGTACCCGGCTTTGCACCACTCGGCCATTTCCGAAGCCAGAAACGGGCCCTGGACCTCGCCTTGCGGATCCTGGTAGAACCACTTCTCTTGCCCCGAGGTGGCAGCCATCTGGGGTACCTGGTTTCCGACAGTGGAGGCTCCGGCGGTTTTCCCTCTGTGGCCCTCCTCGTCGGCCATGAGTTTCGCCACCAGCGCGTCAGCCTCCTCTTTCATCCTGTCCAGATCGTCCTCCGACCTCTGCCGCATGTTCCCGGTTGCCAGGTTACCGAGCTTCTGGGATTCCGACTGCGACGAGGGTTGGTGACCCGATGAAGCGACTGTGGGCTCCCCTTTGGGACGAGTCTCCGAGTTCGCTTTGGCGGCCTTCGCTGATAACTCCACCGAAGACTTGGATCTTTGGACGCTCGGTTGAGGTTTCTTCTCGGTGATCCTACCACTGCTCCCACCACCGGATGTCTTTCCACCCTCAGGAAGCCCTTCCTTCGTCGTAGCATCACCGAGCGAGGGGGCGGTGGACTTTGGCGGAGAAACGCTCCTCCCACGCTCCGTCGACGCGTCCTTACCCTCGAAGGGATGGAGCGATTTCGGTCTTTCCCTGCTTAGAACGCCGGTCGTGGTATTCGTATGGCGGGCAGTTGCCTGTCCCTGATTTATGCTATTGCTGGAGTGCAAGTGTTTACTACTAGGTTTCGAGGTACTCGTTGCGCTCCCCTCGGAAAGGGACTGCCGATTTCTGGGTTCCTGAGAGGTCCCACCTCCGGTACCATCCTCCTCCTCGTCGGAGAACATTCCGCCATGAAACGCCCCCGAAGCGTCGAAGCTCCCTCCGCTTTCGCTCAAATTCTCTGTAGCCCTGGAAGCGAAAAATTCTATTTAGATTCCCGTTAACGATTTAAGATATTTATGGGAAGTTTACTCTTGACAGTGACCTCAGGTTATGGGTAAATCGCTCTCGCTGGATATAGTCATTACACTCGAGGCAGTCGCGTCAATCAACCATAGGTCAACGACGTGTCTGCCGAATGTTAAGACTCGGCTGGTTTTCATCATAGGTAGTGGATTATTTAAGGTGATGTGATAGTGGTTACACAGAGGTCTCGTTTATGAATCTTTTTTTCTGAACTGGGCGTTTCGAATCGTTTCAAAGTTTACAACGTGAATATGGAGGTTATAAGAAAGGTCCTGACACCCACGAAATTTGAATTGTTTAAAAATTTGTTCGTGGGTATTTTATAAATTTTGTATTAAAAACGAAATTTTATTGGTGTCAGGACCTTCCTTGTAGCCTCCATATTCACGTTGTAAAGTTTGAAACGATTCGGTACATTCAGTTCGGAAAAGGTTTTATGAACGATCGACCCCTTGGATTACACTTTCATATCCCCTTAACGATCTAAAAGTGTTATTCTAAATATTTACCATTCGGGTAGGTTATCGTGATTGTCGTGATGGTTGGACTCCCACGTTCGTGAGATGCGAGGAGGAGGGTGATGAGGTTCGTGAGAGGACCTGTGACTTCCTCTAGGTTCCCAGCGACCACCGCTTCTACCTTCCTCAGGGTGCCCTTCGGTTGAGTCCAACCTTTCCCTCTCGGAACCACCCCCATCGCGCCAACTGCTTCTAACTGAATCGACATAATATTGCAGACCCTATCATATATTCTTCACAACGTATTTTTTGCAAATGCAATGTATAGCATTGGTTTTCACTGACCACACTTGGTAAATTTTCTACGGATATGCTTATATTTTTTTCCACTTTAATAAAAATTATAAGTTTACCCCATTTTTCATTACGAGTACTAGAAGCGCCACGCCAGCCCTCCTCATCTTCGCCGTTTCGACGTCTCCAGTTACTTTCCATTAAAGAACCGCCACTAGGCCGTCCTATTTCTTTCCTGGGACTGGTCGAGCCATTCCATTCTCCAGGGTCAGTAACGCCATTTCTTTCTGACCAGCCTCGTTCACTTTGTGACCTGTCGAATGGTCTGCCTCGACTCTGTAAAATATTGCAAGTAAATTATGTTATAGCTTCTTGATGCTGAATATAAAAAAGAAAAATGTCTAGTCACCGGAAAAGGTTGTGTTTCGGCTCTGGGCCCATCTCCTGCTTCGTCGAAACTTCCGCGCGAATAATGAGATGAGTAGAGACCACCTCTTCCACCTCTCCCACGTCCTCCACGATCCACGCTACCTCCTCTTCCACGACTTCCTGCACTAGTTACGCCTCCATTCCATAAGCGCTGAAATTTAATTGGCATTATTAATGACGAATGCAAATGCGATTTAAAAATGAATACATTCAGACTATGTCGAAGTGGACATTAATATTGGAACACCTTGTGCGAATTGATATTAAATCTAGAGTATTAGGAAATAAATAGTCTCCATGTGCTACGAAGTCTGGCACAAGGGCTCCAGGGCATTCTATTAATAGATCATAACGAACTATGACACAAATTCTAATATAAGACATACAAAACACAAGGCACATTTATAAGTCTGTGTTCTGACGTAGACTCATCTTCTTGGGAAACGTTTACCAAGTAAAAAATTGGGGGTTTACTTTATACTTTGGATCAAGTGATTTAAAGTAAATTTTCTTGTTAACGTTTAAAATGGTAAATGTTCAAGTAGTGTATGCACATTTTAGAATTAATTGGAATATTAATGTCATATTGACAAAAATACAGGGACAAGATAGAAATGAAAAAAGAAACAAATCGTCTCATTTTCAGGGAGAATGACGTACTGTTTCATCCTCTGCCATCTGTATAAGAGCCAGAGGTGGTTGAGCTTTTTCGACGTAGAGAGCTGGGAAGGTGGTCAATGGTTGGGGAGGCTTATAATTCGGGTCGAATAGAGCCAACATCTCTTCTCGACCGTATCTATGCTCCGCCAGCTGGTAGCGTGGGATGGTAAGGCTCATAGACCCTCCACCGCTTCCAGTGGTATTACAACTGTCTCCTGACAGGTTACGCAGCCTGTACGTATATAATTACATATTATTATATGTAAAATCATAGTGTCTTAAAATAAAAGTTGGCATCTGGCAGCATGCAGCCACTTTTTTTACATCTATTCTTTTATTGGAAGCATACATGTTCTAGATTTCTTCTGACATATAGCCAAATTAAAAGTAATGAATTTAACATTTAAACGTTATCAAGAATTAATTAATTACCATTCTGGACCAAATTTCATGGAGTCCGTCATGTTTGCGATACTTGCTGTAAAAATAAAAGCCATTGTTATTAATGTGAAAAATATAGTGAAGTTCATTAAATGTAACTGTTTAACGTTTAATATTAACATTTACTATGTCCACAACAGTATCCTTTTGATAGCAAATTATCACAGAAACCAACAAAAATTTGATTTCATTTAAATAAATCAATCGTTAGTAATTTCTGTAAAGCAGACTGTCCGTTACTCCCTAAAAATATATCAGATAATAAATTCCTGCTGATCTCTGATTTTTATTTAACAATGTGGTATTACTTCATAAAGAATAAATGATCTTTACTCTATGTTTAATGAAATATAATGAATATTTTTAATAGGAAGCCAAAATACAAAGCCTTATCTTAAGGGTCCATGTTCTCCTAACCGTAATGAACGCAAGACCAATTTCAATAAGGCTTAAATAATTTCTAATGGTTGTGGAACACCTTACGACGTACCACAGCATCGTGGGAGCAATCATTATTTATCAGAGAGATAAACTCCAAACATGTCTCCAGACATTTTCTTCCACATAGGATACCATCTGTTAGAGTATGCAAAATGTCACAACATAATGCAGGTCCTTATCTATTATTTAACAATAAGCCGAGGGAATCTCTACGAATATTTGGTAGAAAGTAGTGAACATCGTCAATAGAATAGAAATGAGGGAACTGATAGGACGAGATAAAGTTAGAATAGGCTGAAATACGTCAGTACAAGCGGACGCAAAAGAGTACAACGGACTTCCGCGATAAAGGCTCCCTTGGAAAAGAAATCTCGATCTCGTGGAATCTCGAAAAGGAGGCTCAGATTTCTTTCGGTACGTCTACGTGACACAGTGTAACGACCTAAAGCGTTTCCACGAGGGTTCGGCACGAACCGTGCATTTATTTACGACGTATTCCTTTTAATCGAGATAAACTCCCGTAAGCCAAGGTGGTAATATTAACCACACTTTTTTTTGTCCGCGGAAGTAACGGTCGACGATGGGTAGTCGCGCCTCGGCCGGCGAATCGAAGATTAAAATAACCCCGTGTATCGACTGCAACGAATACGCCCGATAAAGCGTTCTACAAATGTGAAAAATACCTTATTCGAGTTCGGAATTACTGGGCGAACGATACAACACACCAATATGGCCGATGGGTTTTTTAAGGTAATACGCATGCGTGCATTCTGTCACGTTGACCGTTGCAAAAGTTACTAGCTTCTCCGTAGGTCGTTTTTATTTGACCCTAGGAAAGAACGTGCTCTCCTTTCTTTATCACGGAGCGTGTCCATGATAAGAATGGAGCAATTTCAGAGAAGGGCCGTTAGATAAAACAGAGATGATAAAAGCGGCTCTCGATAGCTGTATCAAATCGAAGATGAGTACGCTCATCTATTCTCCGTCACTATTTTATGATTAATCCAAGCAAGGTTGGAAACATTCCCACGTCATGTTCAGGCAACCGTACCGACGATTTGAGATTTTTCTTCGAGATTTTCAAGAATTTTTCCTAATACCGGAAGAATCTAGAATCTCGTTAGAAGAGTGAAGTGCCACGATGCAGTTATCGATATGCGATTGAGATTGCGCGAATGTTTGAATTTGGCGCGGTCGGGACGCAGGTTTATTGGTTGACAGCGGAAGAGGTTATCTTTTAGAGGTTAGCGCGTCTTCGCGCCCGTTAAGTTGGCTAATCTGTGCAGGTCGCGTCCGACCGCGGCGAGGTTCCGGTGAGTCGGTGAGTGTGCTGTTTTCAAACATGGGGAGGTTACTTTTTTGAAATAATATGTGGGATCTAGGAAACCGGGGCGTTCTCGTGTTGGTAAGTGTATTGAGCGGGTGCGTGTTACTCTACAACGCTTGGGGGCCCATCCTCGCGCTGACGCTCTCGCTATTCCTGGTGGTGTTCGCGTGCTACTCGCTCATAGCCAACGACACCGTCTTCACGCCGCACGCGGATCTCGTGTTTCGCTACCTTAGAGAGGCCAGTTACGAGGCACACAACGTCCTCGGACTGACGAGGCTGCAGATCTACAACCGGTGCCGCGAGCTCTTGACATTTATCAAGCGTTTGTATCGTCAGCGCATTGCGGCGCGAGTGAGCAGGCACCGTGCAGCCAGTACGTACCATACCAGCAGTGATTTGTACCACGCTAACGCTAGTAACTCGCCCATGTTCAGCCTGATCGATCAGTTGAGTCCGATTTCTTGTGGTACGTATCGGTCCCTTGTTGACGATATCAGTTCGGCCAACAGCTCCTCTATGGAGTCCAATTCGAGGGGTAACGACAGTGGAGGAACCTCCATTAAGCATACTTCGACTCCGCTACACCCATGGAGGAAGGAGAATTCGCAGAACGGTGGACCGGGACTGTACACGCCAACCAGGCCAATTGGGAAAAAGACACAGACCGAGAAAGGACACGATCGGTCACTGGAAAATGGCTCGTTTGGTTTTAACGGATCTCCGTGGGGTATCAGCATAAGCCCTAAAATGCGTTCCAAAGCTGCTGGTGTCAAGACGGTACAAACCGTGGCTGGGCCATTGTTGGCATCTACGAGATATAACATTGACCCAAAGTATGTATTCATTAAACGCTGAAAATACTGTGTGGAAAAGGTATTGCAGTTAATGTGGTATTTCTTTATTGTACAGGGTGTATGCAGACGTAAACTCACCAGGATTTAGCACTAGGCTAGTGAAATATGCTACAGAAGCTAGTAAAAAATTGACCCATCAGTCTCAGTATGCTGCTGGACAGTTTCCAAAGATCAATCTACATGCGAGTCCTGCTCCTTTATTGAGTGCAAAAGCTGCAAAAATGAGAATGCCTGTAACGGTCAGGATAGCTCCACCTGATCAAAATAAATATAATAAATATTCTCCTCCTCAAAGGCAGCAAGTCGTAGGCGATATGTGCCATTTGGATAATAATGCTTCTCCAAGTGTTGTTCAAGTACTACGGGAGATATCATTGAAGAGACATGCATCAAGGGAGGATATCACTGCTGATTTAGTTAAGAAACAGCGCACCGATGGAATCTATGGTGATAATTTAGAAAATTTGGAGGAGATGACTCAAAAAAGGAGCAGAGATGAATCTTCAAAGTCTGAAGATGAGATTACTCCTGAAAAGAAATCTCTAAGACCAATAAAACGGACAAAAACACCATCCTGTTATGATATTCTTAATTCACTGAGTTCTAGTGCTCATGTTCAGTCGGGTGTAAAGAGGAAAGCGAGTAAGTATTGTCTGTCATGGATATTTAGATATTACGTTCAAACAACATTTATACTTTGGACCAGCATGATAAATATTCTGTGACATTTTTCAATAGTTTAAAAAATAATATATGTTGATTAAATGTTTTATTTGCCTATTTCAGTGGACATTTCTCGAAGTGGAACACCCGATCCAGAGAAACATTTCAAATCTTTGGATAATACAAATGCATCGCTTTCAACAGAAATCCCTACCGATGCAGCTTCGACAGCAATTAGCCCTAACGATCCATCTTCTCCACATGCAGATGTACTCCATCGTTCGAAAACAGTACAAGAACACATTCCATTGAAGGGAGCAACAAAATCTATTGCTACCAAGGAGAGTAAAATCAATGGAACCATTGAAGATCCACTTGAGAAATATCCTGGCATAAGAGATACAAGGGAACGAATAGCCAAACAAAAGACAGTTGTCGATGCACCAACAAATCTAACCGATAAACTGTTCATGAGAGCCGAACCTCAGCACAATGAAAAATTGAAATCGTTAATTGAGGAGCAAGGAAATATTAAAGTACGATTTACTACTAATGATATGGATGAAATTAAGAAGGAAGATATAGTTACCATGAGACAAGTCAGTATGCGTGCAAGATTGCAGAGCATGTTTGACGCAATATCTGGAAAAGGTAATGTCATTTATAATTTTCGTTTAACTTAGTCATTTAATAAATAAATACATGTATATATTTGTATTAATTTAATATAGTATACTGATGTTTTTCTTTTTTGCAGCATCCAATAAAATAAATCCAGACATCGTTATTCAGGCAGAGGAAGTAACAACACCAGCGGTTTCATCTACTCCTGCTACAACTCTCACCTTTTCAACATCGACCACTGATGTTAACACTTCTCCACTTTCAACATCAGCAGTAGCATCAATCATTGCTAAGCCAAAATCAAGCGGTACTCCTCGTAAACATGTGACTTTCCTCCTTCCCACTACAGAGTCGCAGCAGATTTCGGAAAGTAGCGTAACAGAATCATCTGAAACTACTTCTACCGAAATTCCATCCGCTACTAGTGCTCAAGAAACAAGTACTACTAAGTTTTCAATAACGGCCAGCACTCCGATTACAAGTTTTGCTACTTCTAAGCCTAGTATGTTTGCCCCGACATCAGATTCAGTTTCTTCGGGTAGCACAATTGCACCAGCTTCAAACTTTTCCTTCGGCACCCCAATAGTTACTACAACTACACAACAGTCGACTGTACCAGCCACACCGATAATGACACCATCTGCCACCATGCCTCCAAATACACCCATCCAATCTGTGATAGTTTTTGGTACGCCTGTTACCCAAAGTAGTTCCAGCAATATCGTCAACGCCAGTAAACCTACTTCAGAATCTACATTGGGTACTCAACCGTCACCACTTTTCTCGTTTGGACCAACCACTACAACTACATCGACTCCTTCGACCACTCAAACTGCAACTTCGATGTCGAGTCAAAAGACTTCAGGTGGGCTGAATTTTGGAACTCCAAGCGTAGCGGCAGCTAGCAATACCGTAGTGTCACCTAAATTCAACACTACTACAGCAAGTGTTTCAACGAATCCACCCACTTCTACGTTTACATTTGGAGCGAATAGTACAAATATCAAGACTTCAACGCCTGAGGGCTTCTCCTTTAACACTCCTGCAATTGCGGCCCAAAGTACACCATTGTTTGGATCTATCCCGACGACGCAGTCTAATTCATTATTTGGAAATACGTCTCCGACTCCAAGTTTCGCCTTTCCAACAACTTCAATTCGTGCAACGAATGCAGCACCCAGCTTTAATTCAAATGTCGCTACGACGGCGTCTTCTAATTTTGGTTCGAATATCACCACGACTGCATCTCCTGCCTTTGGATCAAATGTCGCTTCAACTGCATCATCTCTTTTTGGAACCAATGTCGTCACAACTGCATCTCCCACTTTTGGATCAAATGTTACAACTGCATCTCCCAGTTTTGGATCAAGCATTGCAACTGCGTCTTCGGTCTTCGGCGCAAACGTTGCTACAACAGTACCTTCCGGATTTGGATCAAACATCGCCACAACTGCAGCTGCTGGTTTTGGATCCTCCAATAACGCAACGCCATTATTTTCTTTCGGAACCACTTCAGCTCCAGGGTCTTCAAACAATCAATCAACATTTTCCTTTGGTGGAAACGCTGCCAGCTCCATAGGAAGTGCGAGTACGGGAATGAATTTTGGAAGCACAACTAGCGGTACCACCTCCTCCTTCGAGACACCCGCCACCACGACTGCTGCAGTTTTTGGCGCAACAACTACGACCACCTCTGTATTTGGCACCCCATCTTCGACTTCTGTATTTGGAACGCCAACCAGTCATCCGAGTTTCGCTGGAACAAGTGCATCCAGTGTCGGTAGCTTTGGAACTCCGAAAACTACCGTCTCCAAGATGTTTACACCCAACACCACCACTCCAGTTTTTGGAGCGACGAACCCGCCACCTTCTTTATTCGGCAATGTAAATACTAACGCAAGTACCGCTACGACTTCCAGTATTTTCGGGCAAGTCAAATCACCACCAGCATTCGGATCTACCCCACCTAGCTTCGGTAGTGGCAATGCATCAGTTTTTGGAACGTCAAACACGAGCACCTCTTTCGGGACTGCAGCTGCAACGACCGGTGCCAGCACTCCTGCATTTGGTGGCGCAAACCCAACTACCAACACCATGGCCCCTGTTTTTGGAGTCACCAACCTTACCACCACAGCTGCTCCTGCATTTGGAGCGAGCAGCACCGCTGCTCCGACAATAGCTTCCACGTTTGGATCCACCACGTCGCCGTCAGGTTTCGGTACGCAGACTGCAGGACCTGCAGGTCCTGCAACAGCAGGACAAACTTCAACGCCCATCTTCGGTGCCTCTGGGTCAGCTTTTGGCGCTTCTACCGCAGTTCCAGTATTCGGCACAAATACTACAAACACCACAACGCCGGGATTCGCAACTCCGTCGACTTCCTCTTTCGGAGCACAGAATAATGCGAGTCTCTCCTTCGGAGCTACGAGCAGCAGTACGACAGGGTTCGGAGGAAGCACTGCATCCCCATTCGGCAGCCAAACCAGCACTCCGGTTTTTGGATCTCCAACTTCAACCGTACCTGTTTTTGGAACAGCTAGTACTAGCGGCGCGAGCAACACCTTCACTTTTGGCGGAAATCAACCGCAAGCTCAACAGAACTCGACATTTTCCAACAACTCTTCGTCCAACAACAATACAGCGAGCGGGTCATCGCCATTCCAGTTTGGATCAGCGACTTCCAAACCTTGTGCGTAACTCTTTCCATCCGTCTTTAAGGGGGTGTGAAAGTGGCATCTGAAAGGTCAATCGTTCATGAAACTTTTCTACGACCTGGGTGTACCGAATCCTTTCACGTTATACCACGTGAATGTGGAGGCCATAAAAAAGGTCCTGACACACATGCAATTTCATTTTTTATAACAAACTTTGAAAATATTAAGAAATTAAAAAAAAATTGAAATCTCATGAGTCTTAGGACCTTCTTTATTTATATTGTAAAGTTTGAATCGATTCGGTGCACCCAGTTTAAAGAGAAGTTTCATGAGCGAGAACTCAGGCCACTATTCACGTCACCTTAAAACGACTGGATGTCCATTATCTATAAACATCTACATTAATATCATGGATTTTTATAAAGAATATATTAACATCTTCCATGTATTATGGAGTGAATTTCTTGTCTTCCTAAATCAAATTATACGTCCGTAGGGTATGTTCTGTTTTTAAGATTGTTTTTTCTTCACAGCTGGTGGATTTAACTTCACGGCGCCATCGGGAGCACCGAACATCAACTTCAGCTCGACCGGGCCACCTTCATTCGGAGCTTCAGCTCCAGGAACGAATGCCTTCAGCGCCCCGACGACGGGAGGAATGTTCAGCATTGGAACCGGTTCCACAGTGCCGCGGTCTAAAAATCCTCGACAAAGGAGACAGAGATGATGGAGAATGTAAATTGTAATTACCGATATTTGTACTTCCTTAAGCGATACCGCTGAAGAGGCGGCGGTTGGTCCAGGCCGGGCAAGATGGCGGATCAGCGTGCACTTCTTCAGCGCGTAGGGCTTTTTCATTGTACAGGCTGAGACGAGAGAAATGGACCTGCGAGGAAACGAAATTCCAGATTAACGATCAGTCCATCGAGTCGTCGCTCCTCTTTGCGAAACTTCCCGCGAGGGCGGCCCTTTTCTGTACAGAACCTAGGATCCGGGAGAGTTAACGAATATTCCGACGTCCTCGCGAGCTAGGCGATAAGTTGAAGTCTCGCCGGTATATCCGACCTTCGAGTATCTGCGCGAGCCAATCGAATTAAATTTTAAGTAGGCTCAATTAATGCGAATTTATAGGGAAAGTCTGAGTTTCCGGGGGTCGATTGTAATCGTGTTGGGTCTAGCTCGCGAATATACTCGAGTAAGTTCCTGCTGCATTCGTATTATCCACCTCGAAAATAGTTCTGTCGTGAGGTATCGCACGATCGATGACGGGACTCATTGGTTCATTCGGATCCAGAGGTGTTAAGAATATATATAGATATTTGTTTGTTTTTTTTTTTATCAGGCGGGAGCGTAAGAAACGCGGCGAGGGCAGCGGTAGTCTAACGTCGATTTTACATTATGACAGATTATATATAAATACATATTCTATTCGATTTGTAACTAACGCCATTTCCGAGTCTCCCTGATGTAAAACTTCCTCTCTAGTGTAACGCATATTTCTCTCTTTCCGTTTTTTTTTCGACTAAAATCGATCTAAGGGCTAATACGTGGAAGAGTTCGGGTGGACGCTGCTCGCGTTTGGTTTTATATAGATGAGACCGTGCTAATAAAATCGAAAGACATCCGGGGTGATCCGAGTTGTTGTAAGTCAAAGCCAGGTGTTTTTTTCTTTCTTTTTTTGTTCATACTCTCATTTCTGTCTTTACCCTAGATTAACTCTGCGGAGTAGCGTTGGACACGATGCGAGATCGAGGTACTTCCTGTTTGAAGCGTGCCAAAAATGTATCCACCCACTTCGACGAAGTTATTAAGGTGTTATGAAAGTGTCATAAATATGTATACCAAGAAGTCGAAATATTTATGAAACTTTTCTCCAAACTGGGTCCACCGAATGATTTGCAACTTCAACACGGGATCATGGAGGTCCCATTGAAGATCCTTACACTCGCGAAATTTCATTCTTTGAGAAATAACTTTTGTATTTATCCCGGACATGAACCAAAAACAAAAGACACTTCTTTGAGAAATGAAATTTGATTTGCATTAGGACCTGCGTAATCATGTGTTAAGGTTTCAGATTATTCGGTGGATCCAATTTGGAGAAAAGTTTTATATTTTTACGTTTTATATATATATAGAGTGACGCTTTTATGTCGCCTTAATTTGGAACGGGGATATCGCTGTCTACGAAATTTTACGCGACTATGGCGAGGACTCTGCTTCATGGATTTCTTCGGGTTTTCCTCTCTAATAAGCCCTTTTTTTTTTGTTACATTTCCATGGCCATCCATTTTCGAGTTCCGGTGAATTCTCTTTAATGCCTCTACGAAGGATCGTGAGAGTGACGAGGTCGAGACGTAATCTTGTAATCGGGTCGAGCTGCTGCCTGGAATAATATTAATCGTAAACATACAGGAAATCGTATACAGAAAGGACGACCAGTAACGATTAAGTTCCCTTGAGGCTCCCAAGGGATTTTTTTTTTTTTTACGGAAATTAGAAAGCGATTTAACGTACTACGAATCTTGGATACGGAAACATTAAACATGTAGCCTCTGTGCGAGCAATGAAATGGTTGAAAATTTCTTTGACGGTCTTGAAAGAGAAAAAGAAAAGGTAGAAATCAGGTCTTGGCACTTTCTTGCGCAGTGTTTAGTAGCATAGTACTGCTAACGGCCGTGATATAATGAAGTTTAATAAATCATATTCTCACATAGACTACACACTGTTGTGGCTTACAATTTTCCAAAGTGAACCCGCGTATGCGTTTAACCTGTTTTCCGACGATTTCAGATGTTTCAGGGGAGAATTATTCTCTAGGAGGACTCGATCACTTCTCGGGCGAGCTTTTTGCAATTTCGCAGAGTCTAAATCGTCCCGAATTAGAAGTCAGGGCCGTACAGCTTAATTTCCTACAAGCACCTCGTCTTTTCGAGCGAGTTACTACGCAATGCCTATCTGTATTTATTTTCTCTCTATTTTTTTTTGTATGTAATTTCGGACGAGTATACACAGACTGCCGGTTACAACCGCGATGGACATTTGCGAGGACATGGGTACACATTGTCCGGAGTGTTTATGGAACCGTAATCTAACATTTCAGTCAGGATAATCCTTCAACTTGTCTTCTATATGTTCCATGACATTTTTCACGGGAATCGTGCCATTTTGAACGGGTGCATTAATTCGTTCCGAGCGCGGAAAATTTGAATCGGCTGGTTTCCTGGATAAAAAAAGGGAAAGAAAGAAAAACTGGGAAACAAAATGAAAAGAGTCATTCCCGGGAAATTCTTGACACGTTCCTCGTTCGCCCCTTGAGAATTTCCCCTAAACTGTCCCGAATTAGAAATCAGGGCCGTGCGTGCATTCTCAAGGGGCTTCCACTGAATAAGCAGGTCCACGTGTGGACGCATTTAAATGATATCAATATATGAGCCACTTGAATGAATCCAAACGTAAATTACTTAATATATAGTCCTGTTGAAATCCATCCGCAAGAGCGACTCGATGAGACCATTAATCACGTTAACGGGTACGACTTTGAAAACGTATAAAAGCCATCAGCAACCGTCCCTCGGAATGATATTCCCATTTCGTCCCGTTGATTCGTGGCCAGCGCGAGGCTAAAATTGGAAAATCTGGAATAACGAAATTGACAAGGAAAATCTTATTAGAAGATCTAAAAGTCCGGCGTCCATTATAAGGCTTGGTTGAAGGTCTTCGTTAAAGCGAAACTGTTTATTTCGCACTTAACACTTCCACTTCCTTACAAAGGGGTTCATTTAATTCGGAGGGAACGGCATTTTCTTGTAAATTCGGTTCTACAAGATCGGTCCGTAAGTGAAAATTCGAAATGCGAGGACGTTCCCTCGCGTGGTCGCGGCACGTGTTGTGAGTCGGAATTAATCGAAATTGAAGAAAAAAAAAGAATAATACCCGCAATCGATACGAAAGGAGGCGAGAAATACTACGCTAGGTCGTGCAATGTTCTTCCATTTATTCGAGAAGATGCATTCTATAAGATCGGGCCGTAAGTGAAAATTCGAAATGCGAGACGTTCCCTCGCGCGGTCAGCACGTGTTGCCAGTCGAGCGAGTCGGAGAATTAATCGGAGTAAAAAAAAATAGTACCCAGAATCGATACGAAAGGAGGCGAGAAATACGAGGCGAGGCCGTTCAATATTCTCAAATTTATTCGAGATGATCTAGCAGCTTTCGGGGAAATAATTGTCGTAGATGAGAAATGGCATAATATTCAGTCGACTCGGGAGTGGCCGGGTCCGTCGGCTCGCGTACACCCCTGGATTTCCGCCGGCGCCCTGTTCGCGGCTCCGCCGGCCGGGCGTCGAGCGGCGAGCGTGTGCCGCGGCCGATGCGCGGCGAACGGCGCCCTTTGATTGGTCGAGCGGCGCAACAGTGCGGGCGGTCGGCCAATCAGCGCTCGCCTTACAGCGGAACGATGTTTGTCCGGTCGCCTGGAGCTGCAGCCATGTTGGCGAGATTAGAAGGGAACCAACAGTACAACCAGAAGGACGGGAACATCTAGGTTCGGCAGCGGCGTGTCTAACACCTTGCACCACCACCATGGCTGACCCGGAGAAGGAGCACGAACACCCGAAGGCTCCCCAGTCAAAGATGGTCATCGGTAAGCGGAAAATTCTAGCGGTAGCTACGAACGCGACACCCAACGCGGCCCCGTTAAGGACGCTCTTCCGTCTCTGTCCGGGCGGTTCTCCCGTCGCTGACGTCCCTCGTTGTCCCCCTTTCCGTTGTCGCGTCTTCCGCTGGAGCCCGCGACTCGGGTCGACGGGTCACGGCACGTTTACCGAAGCAAACGCGGCGCCGACAGCAATGGCGTCCGGGGCCAGCAGACGCGCGCCATGTGGCCGGCGTGCGCGCCGGCCCAGGGTCGCTTCTTTCATTTCGTTCCAACTAGTTCCCGGCCGTCACGGAAAGGTTAAAGCGTCCCGGGACGCTCTCTGCTTACGGCTCGGCCATGCCGGGACGTCGGAGCTCGTCAACGGGCAGATGCGCGTCGGTACGCGCCACCCGGGGAGCGAGCGAGACGCAGCGACGGCGAACCTGCGGGTGGGAGAGAAACGGAGCGAGTAGGTCGCGCGCGCTCGCAATCGATGCTCGCGCGACCTGCGAGCGCCGATCTTTTCCCCGATCTTTCCCTAGCTGAATTCTCGGCTTAGATGTCGTCGGCACCGATTTAGGGCCTCGAGCGCTCTCGGAGTATTTCCGTTACACCCGTTTCCTTCCAATTCCCCGCTAATTTCAGACGTTTCGGCTACCATTTTGAGGTTAGCTTCGCGCACCGAGGCGCGCGGGTCGCTCGAAGAAAAGCCGCGCGAAGGTGTATATCTGGGTGGTTCCGAGTTTCGGATTTTGCGGGGGATAGTCGAACGTATATTTTCAATTTACACGCCGCTCTGTTAGGGATGAGTCATATTTTAGGGGGGCAGACTTTGGAAGTAAATATCGTAAGAGTGTTGTCCTTTGGTTCTCTTGTATCTTCTCGGCCTGCGGACTGAATTTGACCGAGTAATCGGTTTGACCGGCCGGACTAACCTTTGCCACCTGGGCGGAAACCATTGCGGGGGAACCTACGGCGAAAGAAGCTTCCCGAGAAGACTCTAAAGTTCAGCCGTGCCGTCCTCGGGGCTCCCGCGAGAATTACACGGGATTCGTCTCTAAGAAAGTCGCGCCGGGAACGGATCGCCGCCCCTCGGAGGACGTTAATATTTCAGGCTATATCGAGTACTCTGCTTTCGGCCTCGCCTGCGAAGCCGTTCAGGATAGGCTCCGGGAATTTGAATCGGTATTTACAAGACGAGCCACTCGGAGGTCACGCTCAACGGTGTTGCCTCTTCCTACGTCGCCATTTATCAAGCCATCGACGCTTTCGTAATGATGGCCTCCGGATTAATTATTAGAAATGTCCAAGATTAGTCCTGGATAGAATAATTAAATGATCGGTATTTATGTGTCCAAAATTTCGGGGGTGATCGCGTCGCCATTTGTCGAACCATCGACTCTCTCGAAATGATGACGGTTCGATAAATCATTACAAATATCGATGATCGATCAGCCCGGATAAACGAAAATTAAATTTGAAATTACTTCCGACGTTATTTCTCGCGCCATTCTCAACTCTCGAAATAATATCGTTTTGATAGATCGTTACAACTATCGAAGATCGATCAGCCCGGGTAAACGAAAATTAAATTGAAATTATTTCCGACGTTATTTTTCGCCCTATTATCGACTCTCGATATAATGTCGCTTCGGTAGATCATTACAAATATCGAAGATCGATCAGCTAGGATGAAACGACATTGAAAATAGGTGGTTTTAAAAATCCATATCCTTACAAATTTGTGTTCAACTCAATTATGTTTCATTAAAAGTGATTTGTAAACAGTTAAATACAGCTCTATAGTGTCCCCGTCTCAGTCACGTCTGCATAGTTTGCGCCCATTTATCGCAGCGATTTATCGTTAAGCGTAAACCAGTTTAACGAGGCGAACAGGTCATGAACGGGGTAATTTCAGAATTCGAGGGGGGAGCCCGTGAGAAATTCGTAAAAATAGAATTGACATTCGATTGACGCTCGACGCGGCGGGTTGTTCGAAATATCCGGTGCACTTGCGGTAATTGAAAATTTGCATCGGCGCTCGGCCGCGAAAAGCCCGTTCATGATCCAGGACGGGCTGGTCTCTTTTCCTCTCTTTTTTTTTTTCCCTTGGAATTTCAAGTAATCGACCCTTGACTAGCCTGACAGACGCAGACGCGACGTACCATTTCATAACTGGTTTCGATTTTCAGCGATGCATTCCGCATCTGTGGGTAGAATTCATTTTGAATCTAGTTACACGCGGCTGAATAAGAGGACTATTGATTAGATTTTGCCTTCAGTTGGAAGTCTTATTTTTGTCATCCCTCTCGCGATGTTTCATTCGTAGTTAGTATCAACGCGACCTTTAGTTTGTAAACTGGGCATTAACAGTGCAGTTTATACAGGCCGGTAATCTGTCTTGGGCTTGGCTTAAAGTCAGCCTTTATCGTTTGTTTACAGGCCGCGTTTAAGACGCCAGATAGAAACCCAAGAGCTGGCACGTGGGCGACTTTAATAAACCTCGGTGATATACATTTGAGGAGTTGGGCCTGCGAATAATCCTCCGATTTTATTCGCATGAATTCCTTTAGGCCTCTCGTTAGCGACCGCACATCTAATAGAAATAATATCGTCTATGATATAACCTCCATGATATAAATTTTCGAATTTGGTTTTTTTTTCTCCCCTACTGGAAACCCAGTGGTTCCCTGAGAGCGCTCGAGCAATGTGTCGTTGAAAATACTGCTCAAAATGGAATGGAAATTTATTTCGCGGGATTTTAAGGTGATATTAAAAGGTCACTACATATATACATATCCAAACGTGAAAATATTTATAAAACTTTTTTCCAAACCGGATGCCCCGAGTAATCTGAAACTTTAACGCGTGGAGATCCTAAGGAAGGTCTTAAGTTCACGAAGTTTCATTTGTCGAGGGAAAAAAAAAAATGCCTTTTTTGGGACCTCCATAATCGCGTGTTAACGTTTCAAATTATATTCAGTGCGCCCAGTTTGGAGAAAAGTATTATTAATTTTTTCACTTTTCGGTATATGACGCTTTCATAACACCTTAATATTACGTCGTTTACTCTCCGTAACGACACGTGCCACTGTCCTAACTGTTCTTTTCCTGTGCTTTGCAGCTAACAAAGTCACCGGGACTGTCAAGTGGTTCAACGTGAAGAGTGGGTACGGGTTTATCAACAGGTCGGTCCAAGATGCATTAATTAATTTTTTGTTTCGTCCGATCGATCCTCGCCTTACGGACTCTCTGATAAGCATTTTAGATCAGTCCGATTTCCGGCAAGGATTCGGCCGGGAAATGGCAAATCGCATGGACGTGCGGCCTCTCCGCTGCGGCTGCCAAGCGCGGAGGCCCCGAATGCCTTCTGCTTTTCTGCATTCAGAGTTACGTTCCATCAAATTCATTGTCGGACGTTTATGGGATCTTGAAGGACTGCATTATTGCCGTCCGGACGCATCACCCTGGTTATTAATCAGGCCGTGTCCCGTGGCATTGCGAGACTCCACCATTATCCCGGAGAAAGAGAACCCTTTATTTAGAAAAAAAAAGAAAAAAAAAGGGACGCTTCCCTGTTTCCCGGGAATGGACGCGGGAATGGGCATTGTCGCGTAGGAGGTCGTTGCAAACGGTCGAAAGGGGTGAGAACCTCTCCTCGGGGTAGATAACATCGTATCGTCAACTTAAGGTGAAGTGAAACCGCCTTCAGATCAGTCGATTCGAATACAACACTTTTTCTTAAGGGTACTAGACCAAACTGTCCGAAACTTTGACATGTCACTCCTGATCATCTAAGAATTGTCCTGACACTTTCAAAATTTGGATTTTTGGAAAAAATTTGTTAACGACCCAGACCAGAACCAAAATGGCGTCGTGGTCTCATATTTCGATCAATATACAATTATCGAAGGCTCTGATATGAGAATCGAAAGGGTCAGGACAATTTTACGACAATTTAGAACACTCTGGTAATCGATAAACTCGCATTTGAACGGGATAACTGCAAAAAAAGTGTTGTATGCGCTTCTATGCTAAAAGGATGGGAATACGAGGTCTCGGAGTGAAAATTTAATTGACCTGGAAATCACAGATGGCGCAGGGGGTCCCTCTGCAGTCAATTAGGGTCCCAGAAAGCATGAATTCAGAGGATTTCTAGAGTTTTACTTCGATTTCTTGATATTTAATGTACGAAAACGACAGGTGGAGTATGCCATTTGGTACAATATCCAATATAATTCGATACGACTGTTAATATAAAAACGAACGTCGGCAACGAAGGCATTTAGATAAATCTTTATTGACGTCGATCAAATTCCTTTACGTGTTTCACTTCACCTTAAGCCTCGATTCAACGATCGTTTTTTGGCCTTCCGTAGAAGAAAAAGAGAGAGAACCAACATCGGTTTCAGTCGTTGAAACTCGAGGTGCTTCCCATCCCATTCGTGAATTTTTAATGGGGATCAGGTAATCTCGGTTCACCGCCGCCACCCCGAGAAAAAGTAGTATTGTCACTAGGATTGTAAAGTATTCACCGGTCTCTACAAGTGGTATACAACTATGAAAAGAAGTAATCACTTTACAGGTTGTACTGTTTTTTTTTTCCTACAATTGTATTCTCTATTTCTGTGATGTCTATCATATTCCTTGTAGAGACGGCGCCTATTTATCAAGTATTAGGTTGAGGAATAAGTCTCCGCCGTTTTTGATGTAACGTAACGTAATTAAAACGGCGGGAATTCATCCCTCGTCGTAATACATTTTTCTCGGTGCAGGTTAGCCTGATCAGAGCGAATATCTCGTTTTCTCTGAGGTGTTCCCGTCCAGGGTTCTTATCGTTTTCGGCTGAATTCGATGTTTTCTGGGGGCTCCTCGGGCACGGTCGTCTGGACAAATAGAGGGAGCTGACGAGGGAATGGTAGGGAAAGGTTTCATGGAGAGTCGCCTCGTACCTCGACCGAAATTTCGTGTCGTCTCCTTATGGGGCTGGTTGCATCGGCTCCTTTAAGGCGCCCCCACATCGGGGCGTTCTCCCTCCAACTCGGCTGCGCCATTTGCGGCAGGACACGCGGGGCTCTCCGTACTCTCGTTTCCCGGTAGGCGCGCGTCAGAACCTCCACCTATCGGCCTCTATTTCTAGCTTCCCCGTTTGCCTGGCGACCGGCCAAAAATTTGCCGCTCGCCGCCATATTGTTTCGCGCTGCGCCTCGAGGTCGGGCGGACTCCTCGTTCCAGTTGCGACCGGGTTTGGTGGTACCTCCTCTCGCCCTATAATTTGCATAGTTGACTCTTAATGACGGGCACGTTTCGGTATCGAGTGGACACCTCAGATTTTCTCCGCTGTAAATTACAAACGGCTAGACTACAAAATTTAAGATACGAATGGGTCATTCTATATATATATATAAAACGTCGAAATATTTCTATAAAAGCTTTTCTCCAAATTGGATGCGCCGAAATAATCTGAAACTTTAACATGTGATTATGGAGGTCCTAATGAAGATATAGAAACTCACGAAATTTCATTTTTTGAGGGAAAAAAGTTTTTTTTTCTTTTATTGGTTCTTGTACGCGATAAATACATTTTTTTCTCTTAAATGAAATGTCGCAAGTTTTAAATTATTCAGTGCACTCACCTTGGAGAAAGGTTTTATAAGTAATTTGACGTTTCGATATATACAGAATGACCTTGTCATATCACCTTAAACAGATGTCCTTTTTAGAAGATCGTCCATGAGTCGGCTGATTGCATTAGATGACGCGACTGGGGCATCGCGAGGGTTAGGGAGGTCGGGACGGCGCGCAGGTCGCGACCTCTCTCGCGCGGCACCGCGGCGCGCCGAGGGCGGAGGGGTTAGGTTTTCGGCGCCTTGAGCCGGGTCAGGAACCTCGGGAGGGGGGCCCCACTCTCTTTCTCTTTCCCTCTTTCGCTCTTCCGGCTCCGATGGCGCGTCCATCGATTTCTCGAATGCGGCCCGGCCGAGACCGCGCCGTCCGCGCTCCCCGCGAATCCGCGTGACGAGAAGCGATCGATCGATACCCGAACATGTTATTATCAGATTCCTGTCGGCTTTCCGATAAACAAGGATCTGGAATTATTTTTTATCTTAAGGGTTGTGGAGCGGTTAAGGAGGGTTGAGTGAGTCGTTCAGAGAAGTCGATCGATCCGTTTAGTAGATGTTTGGAGATATTTCGAGATGTTTCGAAGGCCTCGTTGGACATTCTTCCGAACGGACCCCCGCGCTCTCTTCTGATTGGATTAACGTCGCGCGGGAAGCGCCGGTTAGCGGGTATCGACCGCAACTCGCGGTCCATGTGATCGCGTGGGCGCGGGCTCCGGGGAATGCTTACCGAGGGAGCCTCGATCGCGGCGGGATCTCGTCTTCCGCGGCGCGCGGCCCGAGGGAAGCCGAGGGAAGCCGACTATTGCCGAGTGCCGGCCGAATTTCACGAGGCGAAGCGCCGACTGAGGCCCTCATTAGCCCGCGGGACGCGGCGTCGAGTGGACGTCGCGGCACGCACCTCGGGGCGAGAGTACCCGCTCCTCAAATTTTCGTAATATCTTCTCGCAAGGTTTCTCAACTTCTCGAAAGATCTGGAAGAAAAAATCGAAATCGAAATTCACGTTCTTCTAATACCCCCTACGTTCGACGGAGACTTCTATTTTCTCCCGATTTTATCAGTACGTTCCATCTCGGGAATTGCGATTAGAGGTTCGAACTTCCAGGCGAGCTCTTCAGTCTCGGTGAAACCTGAGGAGAAACCGTTCGTTCCGACCCGAGGCCCTCGGTTTTGTTCTCCACTGGGCCGGCCAAGTAGTTATAAAATGGACTTCCTGTCCGCTAATCGTCCGCGCGACGGTTTTTCTCCCCCGCCGTGGTGTTGCGACATCTCCTCGCTAATCCGTTCGACAGGCGGGTTTAAATCCCAACGCGGCGTTCCGCTAGGACCTCCAGGGATGATAGCCACCCCCTTTTCTCTCGAGAGGTTAACTCCGGGGGTGGCGCCGCGATAATCAGCCCTAATCGAAAGTCGATCGGTTCCGGTGAACCGTGAAAATCGCCCGTTGGTCGTATATCTCGACCCTCTCCCTGCTCTAAGGGGAGAGGGTCGGGGTGGCGTTTTGCAGCGACCTCCTCGTCACGAGGACGCCCCCTTCGGGGAGGTGAACGACCTCCCGCTCTCGGCAGAGACATCTGCGTCGGCATGTTCCGCGCATCGTCGACAGGAGGCGCGGCGGAGAGGAGGGAACTCGTTCATTCACACCGCCGCCACGAGTGCGTGTGCGTGCGTACGCAACGGGGCGAGGGTGTATCACAACATATCGATTGCTTCCAGGGATGAACGAGTCGCTCTCGTTAACTCCTTGCCATAAGATTCTTCCTCCTAATACGAGATAACATGGATGACGATATAATTAACCCTTTCCTCTTTTTTGTTTTGTTTTAGGAACGACACCAAGGAAGATGTGTTTGTCCATCAGGTTAGTATAGGTGCAACGAGTTGAATATTTCAAACAGTTGGACTCACTGAATAATTTTTTTTCTTTTTCTTTTTTACTCGCCGTTGACTCGACGAGTATAAACGATGTAGTTTCCGAGTACACCACCGAGGGGCTTCACCCGAAAATCTGGGAAAACGATTTTCTTCTTTGATAACCTTTGTCTTTGATTTTATATGATAACAGTATGACTCGGTAACAGGTCGACCTTAAATTCGTGATAATGTTTCGGTGATTTAAAACGTTCTCCGGGTGATTTCTAGTATTAAAATCCATGATTTCATGAGGGAATAACCCCTCGGCGTATACTGATAAAAATCGGTAGGGATTTACTTACATCTTAATCACCTCGTGAACTAATGTTTCACGTGGGGGAACACGAGATGTACAAATTAGAGACGACTCGTCGTGTCACTTAGATCGTTATAGAGAGGTGGTACTTAAATCGAGGGTCGTTTTTTCTTTCTCTAGACGGCTATCGTGAAGAACAACCCGAGGAAAGCTGTCAGGAGCGTAGGAGATGGCGAGGTCGTCGAGTTCGACGTGGTTATCGGCGAAAAGGGTAACGAGGCGGCCAACGTCACCGGCCCCGATGGAGAGGCGGTCAAGGGCTCGCCCTATGCCGCGGACAGACGTCGCACTTATCGTCAATGGGTCTACCCTAGACGGGGCAACGCTCGACTACCGCGCAGACCTCGCGAGGGCCAGGAAGGTTATGAATCCGGTTAGTATCTTAAAAAAAATAATTAATATTTATCAAATTTAAGGTGAAGTGAAACACCCTTCAAATCAGTCGATTCGAATACAACACTTTTTTTAAAGGGTATTAGACCAAACTGTCCGAAACTTTGACTCATCACTCTTGATCATCTAAGAATTGTGGAGTATGCCATTTGGTACAATATCCATTATAATTCGATACAGCTGTCAATATAAAAACGAACGTCGGCAACGAAGGCATTTAGAAAAATCATCTTTATTGACGTAGATCAAATTCCTTTACGTGTTTCACCACCTTAAGTGCCTGACTTTGGCGTTAAGGTGACAAAAGGGTTATTCTGTATATCACGAAACGTGAAAATATATCTAAAACCTTTCTCTAAACTGGGTGCACCGAATAATCTGAAAACTTTAACGCGCGATTATGGACGTTCTAATGAAGGTGTTCAAATCGACGAAATTTCATTTCTTCGAGAAAAAAGAAAATGTATCTTTTTGGCTCCCGTCCGGGATAAATGCAGCATTTCTGATCGGAAAATGAAATTTTACGAGTTTCAAGGCCTTCGCTGGGACCTCCATAATCACGGGTTAAAGATCCGAATTATTCGGAGCACCTAGTTTGGAGAAATATTTCATATTTTGATTTTTTAGTACGTATATATGTAAGACCTTAAATCACGATTTTTATTAAGTATTGATTACCACGCGGATAGGCACACCTAGAGACTCCGGAGGCTGTTGGGCAGGTGGACGAGACTATATTTTAAAACGTCACTTTTATTTATTAACAATCCCTTGTCGTCCTGCAGGCGAAGGAAAGCCCGGAGAAGACGCGAACGCCGGCGAAGGCGGTGGCCAGCTGAGACGCTACAGGCCTCGACGCCACTACGACGGCTACTTCCGCGGAGCGCGTCGCTCGGGCCCGACCCCGCAACAGGGAGAGAACGGCGCCGAGGCGGGCGGGGGCGAGCAGAACGCCGAGGGGACGACGTCCGAGGGCGGCGCAGTGCGCGGAAGCCGAGGACGCGGTGGACCTCCTCTACGTCGCTTCTTCCGGCGCAACTTCCGCGGAGGAAGAGGCGGCGGCCCTCCCAGGCGTCCCCGCAGTCAGGACGCCCAGGTGAGCTTACCTTACAGATGATAGTCCACTTCCTAGATTTCGAAAAAGGGAAACATTAGAACCAGAGTTGAGATAAGATCAGGGATATGATTAAAATCCCGCCTACCGCGCCTTATAACGCTATGTTAAGCGCTTGTATTTGTGTATCTGGCGCGTAACTCTACCGAGCTTCTTAATCAGGGATTTTAATATCAGAGAGTCTTTGTTCTCTTAGACCAACTATTTTTATTTAATACAGTCTCACGGGACTGACGCGGCATTAAGAATTCTGTGTAAAAAAAAAATACCGAGTATTGGCGAAAATAATGAAATTCTGAAACTGGTTGCCACAAACTTGTATCGTGTATCGTCATGGACGTGAATTCACGTCAGCGGCAACCAGGAATAGAACTTGAAGAGACGTGAATTCACGTCAGCGGTTGCGAATGTGTTAACGCGTTAAGAGGTCTCGTGGTTTTGTATCAATTCTGGTCCTGGTTTAACCTGAGCTCTAGAACGGGGCGTTTACTTGAATAATTGAGATTATTTTAAAAATTACGATTTTAATCCCAGTTTAAGAAAAAAAATGGGATTTTTCTGTTTCTTTTTTTTTTATGTCATTACTTTTATCAACACTGCGTGGAACCCGAAGATTCGCCTTAGTTGAGGGTGCGTTCGAGTTGATGTACTGCGAGAAAGAGAGAGAGAGAACACTCGGGAAAGGCGAACTTTGGGTGGACACGTCTATGTGACAATGTCGTTAGGGTCTGGCTGGCCCTTTCAATGGGTTACCATCTCCCTTTCGGGTTTGGGGTGTCGCCTGGTACCCGCGACACCATTCCCGCTACGAATGGCCAGTTTGCAGAGTGTTAACTGTCCCAGAAGTTCCTCAGCCCTGCGAGATACGTTATACGGATGGGTAGGCGGCTGGGGAACTTTCGGGTTTCCACGGGTTTGAGATCGCTGCTGAGTGATAAGTTGGAATCACTTGGGCGTAGACGAGTGTTTGCGCCGATAAGGACTTGCCTGGTCTGGTCGGGCTCGTATGGTATCTTCAACGCCGAATTCGGTTAACCCCGAAGATTTCTGCCGCTGTAAATGCAGCCCCTAATTGCGCTTTTTTGAGTATTTTCCATCGACCTTGGCTCTACGACCCTCCCCGGGTGACGAATCCTCGAGTTCGAAACTGAATTGTCAGGTGAGCGACGACGAGGAGGGTCCCGGGGAAGGTGGTCAGAGTGGAGGGTCCCAGCGTCCTCAACGTCCACGTTACCGGCGCCGTTTGCCCCGCCAATCCCGTCCCGCCAACAACACCCTGCAGAGTGCCAACAAAGAGAACCTACAACCCGCCGCTGCTAACAAACCCGATCCTCCCCAGGCGCAGAACACCAAGAACCCTTCCGAAGTCGCCGACAGACCCCTCAAGGTATCCTTTGCCTATTTAATCCTGGAGGAGTTACGCAAAATCGGGTGCTACCCCTTTGAAGATCCTGAAATCTGATGCTGGACAAGGTCACGAGATATTTCCTGTTCCCGTTATGAGCGTCAGAATATTCTAGAACCTTAGATCAATGCATTTTCGCAGGCGATGCTGTACAGTCCGCCATTTCCGGAGGCTGGTTCCGAGGAGTAGGGAAAAAGTTAACGTGGCAGGGTTTGCGGCTGAAGTCGGAGTTGGCGGTTTTTGGAGGTTTTCTAAGCACGAGTGTTGTCGGTGGGGTTCTTATCGACAAGCGGCACCGGCTGTTCCGGATGTTGGGAACTCGGTGGCAGGCTGCACTTCTCGTCTGTAGCCACTTCTTCCAGGCTACTTCTTCCCTGTCCAGATCGCTCGGTTCCTGAACATTGCCAGCCAGCCCTTGGCGAATTTTCTCGAGATATCCCGTGGGACTCGTCGTGGGAACTCGCGATCAAGGATTCTCCCTGCGGCTTCGCACCCTGGTTTCCGGAAGTTTCGGGGATCCGACAGAATACCACAGGAAGTTGGTCCCGTTCTGCAGCACAGTTGTGGAGAACGAAGTTTCCTAATGGATCCCCTGGGGTTGCGATTCCGAGTTTTCGGTGTTTAGCGCGATTTTGCCCGGTTGTTTCTCGATCGGGATGACAGTTGCAGGTTTTCTGGCATGGAAACCGACTCGAGGCGTGAAAGGCTGGGCCCAAGGAGATCCATTTTTGAGGGAACATCCGGCGTGAAATCTCTTTTCTTCGACGCTGGTTACCCCAATCCTGGGGAAATAGGGGCTTTGCCAGCCTCGGTTGATTTATGAGATTGCCTCGTAGCAATCGCAGCTTTCGAGCTTTACGCCCCTGGAAGGAAAACTCGGGAGTTGTTGGAATCCTGTAGGTTGATGGAGGGATACCAGAAAGTGGTCGCGCCAAGCAGGGTTTCGCTCGAATTTTCTATTTTACCGTGTTCACTGAAGTTCTACGGTGAAGCGACTTACTCCACGTGCAAATAGATGTATTTTATTTACCTACGTGTGCGTCAATGTATAAACGGTCTCTTAAATATATTTTCCAGTCGGAGCAGAAGACGGATGCACCCAAAGAGAAGGATGCACCTGCCGCTGCCCCTGCTCCACAGGTAAGGCATATCCTTCATTTATTCAGATTTAAAAAACAACATAGCTTTGTCGTTACCGAGATATGTCTCGGGATTTTAATTTGCTCCTGCGTTTAATTGAAACCACCTCGTAGTTGTGTCTAAATCAGTGCAAGTTACTTCCAAGTATTCTTCGCAAAAACAACACACAAAAAGAAAAAAAGAAACCTAGCGTATTCTCCGCTCTAATTTCTTGCTTCCACTGTTTTTTCTTCCAGGAGAGTCAGCCGGTGCAGAACACCACCACCACTGAGAGCACTGCTTAACGAGAATACCAACGCCACCACTAAAAAACAAAAAAAAAAAACAACCACTCTTTAAATATAACACCAACACCGGTTATACACCGATACGCAGAAGCAGAGTAGCCATCAGCAGCAGCAGCAGTGAATCAGCAGCATCAGCAAGAAGCAGCAACAACAATATACTATAACAATCGTAAAGAAAAATCCAAAAAAAAAAACAAACAAACAAACAAACAAACACTACTCCACACTCTCCCCCACGAAGGCGGAAGCCGGAAGCGCAGGACGACATTCAGGCATCGCGAGAGAGAGGAGAGATATGAGAGAGAAAACGCATCTCGAGCGAAGAACAGCTATAAAGGAAGCGCTGGAACGAGTCTACGGCAGTCATCTTACGTTTTGTGTACCTTTTTAATTAATAATCCCTAACCGGCGCACCGATCTGCGCCTCGAGGCTCAACGTACCGGGATTAGCGTAACACCACCCTACCGTATGTACGCGTATATCGGGTCGCCAGGATTTCCTTTTGCCAAGTTTTCCCTTCGTGGTGTGGACTGTATCGTGGAGAATCGATCACGGTCGGAGAGGCAAAGCCCCGGGTAAAACGCGAGGCGCCTTTCTGCCGGAACCGTGGCGGCAACATCGATGTAATTTCATTGCAATTCATCCCATCCATTCATCTACACACACACACATACACACGTACACACGTACACCCCCCGTGTCACGTGACACGACACCTACACTTGCATACGTCGTGTTAGGCACGACACACAAAACACACACACACACCCATCACTTGCTCATCTCTAGGGGACGTGAAAGAAAAGCGTCTCCGAGGGAAGAAGAGCATACCTTGAACTTCAAGGGAACCTTGATACCCGCGTCAAATTCTGTGCAGTGCCGGAGGGAACGGAATATTCCGATGGAGAGGCAAAAGAGAGTACAGGAAGCCTCGAAGAAGAGATTACGAGAATGAGGAAGAGGCGCGAGCACGGTTGACGAAAACCGTCTTTCTCGACTAACGCGCGCGAGATGGCGAAAGGAAGGCTGACTTTTGTTCTAGGGTTTTTGTTTTGCTCCCTTCTTATTTCCCTTTATTTATTTTTTTTTTTTCCGTATTTATCGTTTCATACTTGAGTTAATCATTGCTTATCTTCCCCGCGGAGGAAGTATCGTCGGATACGTGACATGTACCTGCGCTTTGCGCGTGTACACTTTACGTTCAACTTGAGATTTCCACGTCCTTGGGTCTCTCTGCGACTTTCTTCTTCTTTTTCTTCTTATTTTTTTTTTCTCTTCCTTCCCTCTCCTTTTGAGATGTTCCCAACTTCGCGACTCACGTTCTAGAACGAGGATATATTGTCACCGTACGAGAAAGCGATTGAATAACGATGCACCCTCGATAGTTACCGTCGTAAATTGGATGTACACCCTATGTAGATACATACACGCGCGCGTGTCTCTATTATTTCATCTTTGACTTTGGGAAGCACTTTTGTCGCGACCACGCGTGACGCTCGTCATGTACGTTCAAGGCGCCGTTTAGCTCTGCATTAATTCTCTTTTTACCGCTAAACGATGTACCAATAACACTTTGTCGGGCCCCTAGGGGGCCCGTGACTCGACTGGTTGCATTATTGACTGTTTGATCGGAGGATATCTCGAGATGTCTCGCCGATTAAGCGAGAAATTAGGACACGCGGACTAGCGATCAGGGCTCGTTTCCCTATTCTCGTTCGCCGGACGAGGTCTTCTCCAACGGTTTCCGGTTTCCCGGTTGTTTCTCGGTTGCGCGGCAGTTTATTAATTTTTTTTTTATCTAAAAAAAGATCCTTTTTTCCTTCGAAATCGAGACGATCGAGATCCGCACTGCACGTACGATTTGTCGACGGGGAGAGAGAGAGAGATTAAAGAGAGAGAGAAAAAATATACATATATACATTTATACACGGAGGAGAAAATCTATATAGAGATTTTTTCTATCCTTAGTTTGTAGCACCGATGAGAGGAGAGACGAGAGAATAAAATGAAAAGGTTCATTTGCAAGCTTGTCGGGACCTCCGGGGTCACGGGGGAGTCCTCGAGGTCGAGGTCGAGGATCTCCTTGGACCCCTCCGCGATCCTGCGGAGGTTTCGCCGCGGAATCGATTTATTGCGGCTTTTGTTATTTCACGTCTATCTTCGGGCCCATCTTTCGTGTCGATTCGTCGTGCTCGATGCGAGTCCGGGTGTCGACACGCATCAGTGCTACATCTAACACGTCACGCCACGCTACGCCACGCCACGTCATACCAAGAACCACGGAGCTATATCTCTTATCTGTTTGTTCTCACGTACTTTAAAAAAAAGAAGAAATTTTTTTTTCTCCCCCTATCCGTTTGTTCTCCGTTGGCCCTTCTATAGAGTCGGCGGTCCGCGTTACTTTTTAAGGTAGCTTAATACTCGAACCCGTTGAGACCTTTGTGCATAATTTTGTTTGCGTAATCGATTATAAAAAAAAAATACTAATCCATGGGGACGTAGGATCGTCCCGTGCGTACGCGGGCGTGGAAGGGAGAGGGAGAGAGTGAAGACGTAGGGAAGAAACAACGGGGAGAGAGTATAGGAACTCCCCAAGCGAGACAATGACCCTCGGTTACGGTTTCCCGGCATCCCGAAAACGGATAATTCTCGACGGGGAAGTTCCTACATTTTCGGATAAGAAGCTCAATGAGAGGACTCGTCGAAATTCACGTACAGTGTCGCACAGTCATGGATAAATCGACGAGCGAACTCGCGACGTCTCTTTTCCGGTTGCCGGGTGCAGCCTTAAGGCGATTCGAGAGCGATCGGTCGTTTATGTCAGTTTTCTCCGTACTGGGGGGACCGGATCCTTTGAAATCCCACCCCATGCATGTAGAGGCCCTCTTAAAGGTCCCTACACTCATGGGACTTAAATCTTTTCTCCCTAAATTTGTTTATACAAATTTGTTTTTTTTGGTTTTTGTTTAAAGGTGTCGCCCACTTTCGGATCGCCTTAAGAACTCCTGAGATCGCGGTTTAAGAGGCAGGACGTTTCCTTCGGTTATACCGACGTGGACATTTCTTCAAATTGTAAACGGTTGACGAGCTTAAAAGAGCCATGAGCTTTCGCGGTTGTCCAGTGGGGTATTTTGGGTATTTCGGGATGCAGGAGGGTAACCTGGTGGTCGTGATCGCACTACGCATTATAGAGCCCCGGGCTCGACTTTTCAGCCGGTAAATGGAGGAAAAAAAAAGCGAAAAGAAAAATGCCCAACCAAAAAAAGAGGAAAAAAACTTTTTGTAACTGAGCGAGGAGAGACAGGAGAGAGAGGAGGCGTTCTAGCGGGAGGTGGAGGCGAGGGTACAATGCATGTGTCGAATGAAATCGAAGCTTACCGAGCGCGAGGGAGATACGGGTGTGCGGGAGTGGGAGAGAGAGGAGAGGAGAGTCGCCATCGGAAGTGCCGTCCGATGCGGCGAGCTCCCCCGAGGATTGCCGAAGTCGGGGCGGGACGTGTACTCGTGTACGCATGTAACCTCGCGTGCGCTTAGAGTGCGTACAACACCATGGACGCCGACCCCCTTGATATCCCCGTAACGCTTCCCATGGGAGAATGTCACCCCTCGAAGGCTCCACACGTTCCATGGGTTAGAAATTCCCGAGGAATGAACCGAAAAGATAAAAAAGAAAAAAATGCAAGAACAACCCAATCCGCGAGTTAGCAGCCTCTACTTCTTTAAATCAATGTCCACCGGTCCTACGTTTCCACCGAGATCTAGGTACCTAGGGTTTATAAGTAGGAAGGACCTTTTAATGCCCCGATTGGGATTAAAGGATTTATAAATATAGGTGCAAGTGGGAATGACACCAAAATGGCGGACTTGTAAATCCGAGGTTCAAGGTGCCGGTGGAAACGTGGAGGAGACGTACCTGTAAATGCGTTTCCAGGTGTAAACTAGAAATGCGAACTTGGAGATACCCTCGATGTAAATGGGGGATTATTAATCGACATTCTTAAGAAAAAAAAAATGGGATCGGAAGTCGACCCGAGGCTGATGCTAATTCGATAACTGTTGATGTCCTTAGCTTGTTGGAATAATATGGCTATAGACGTCAATTGTTGTCGAACGTGGGGTGCGGAATTCTGTACTGGGGCGCAGTTACGTAAAGGGGGTCGACGATTTTCCGGCAAGGATTTCAGAGGAGAGGGCGAATTCGGCGACACCCGGTTTTATCGGTATCGATTGCAATAATTCAAACAGACAGTCAATTAGAGCTCGGAGTCTTTGAGTTCTCGGGAAGCACTCGAAAGGGCTGGATGCGAGGATGATACACGAGGGTCGAGGTGGCTCGGGAGGAGCGTCGATCCTTCGGGAGCGGATCCTGGTTTGGGAAGGAGAAGGCGCTCTTCGGGTCGCGACTCGCCCTGAAGAGGAGGACCTCCCCGAAGAGGACCTCGCCGGTGCTCGTCCGTCGACTGCCCGGTGAATTTTGTACCGAAACGCGAAGCTCTAAATGCTAATTTCATACATGGAATTTAATTTTTTCACGAAACATGTGCATTATAAAAAATAAATCGAAACAAAAAAATCGAAAAAGACAAGGACGAGGTTCTAACGAGACTAGTGGCGTTGCATGGTGTTTGTCGAGCCCTTCCTTCGCCTTTGTATTCCTGATCGAGGGGGTGTTCACTCAGGAAATCATGGATCTTTACGCGAAATCAACGGGAAATCACTTAAACACTGTCACAATATTAAGGCCAAGCGGCGCTTGTTACCGAATTGCATAACAATGCAATTCGGTAACAAGCGCCGATAAACATATCGTATAAATTCAAAGACGATCGGCTCTCGGAGAAGGAAATCATTTTTGCTGATTTCCTAGTGAATAGCCCCTCGGTTCCTGATCCTGGACCGAATTTCTTCATCGAAGGAAAAATCGAGAGCAGCTGTTTGTTATTTTAAGGTGATACGAAAGGGCCATTTTTATATATATTAAAACGTGAAGACATAAAACTTGGGTCCAAACTGGGTATACCGAATAATTTGTAACATTATCCCGCGCTTATGGAGGTCTTACCGAAGGTCTTGAAACTTACGAGATTTGAATTTTCGAGAAATGAAATTTTCCGAGTTTCAAGACCTATATTAGGACACCTCCGTAATCCCGTGTTAGAGTTTCAAATGATTGGGTGCACCCAGTTTGGGATAAAGTTTTATAATATTTTGACTTTAATATTGCCTTGGGTTATATTTATTAATACAAAAGAAAGATGTAGATAAGCGCAAGAGGGCTGATATATCGGGGGTTTTGTCGAGAGTTATTTCGAACGGATGTTCAAGCATTGATTTATAACTAGCGTTGGTTCTTGCGTTAATCATATATCGTTTACACGGTTGCGAAGCTGCGGGACAAACTTCGCGGATCTTTGATTGGGGAAGTTTTCGCTTACCCTAACTTCCGATCGTCCAAGTGTTTCCGGAATTCGCCATGCAAGCGGCCAGAGCAATTTCCGCAAGGTGCGTCCCCTTGTGCGGAGGCGCCGCAATCCGGTGGAAATTCTTCAAGGCTTCGGCGAGTTCGCGAATCGCGTCTTCCGGCCGCTCGGCGTCCATCTTGGATAATCCACTCTCGTAGGCAGTCTCGCATTCCCTTAATTTATTTTCCACCTCTTCCAGGCACACTTTTTTTTGGCATCCAGGACACTTCAGGATCTTCTTCGGGTCCCGAGGCCGCGCCAGTAATTTCGGGCATCCCTGCGTAGGACACCTAGAAGACCGCCAAGGAAATGAGGGAAATTATTTTTCACACAGCTGTTAACGAGAGAAGCTAACCGAATTCTGGCGGAGGCATTCGACATGTCCTTCAACAATGGCCAATTCTCTGTACAAGCTGTGCAAGCACATCGGAACCAGTAACGCCCGAACAAGGAACGCTGCCTCTCCTGCAGACTTCTCTTGGTAAATATCGGCCCGTAATTCTCGGCCACCGCGTCTCCGACATTCAGACTTCTGGTAGCCCTTATCACGATGTCTCTGCCGACGAAGTACCTGAAAAGCAGAGAGAATTTTACGTTTTTCGACGTCTAGAAGCTTAAGGGAGGGTGAAAGTGGCATCAAATCATTTAAAGCTCTACAATGTGAATACAGAGGCTCTAAGGAAGGTCCCGAAGCCCATAAAATATTCTTTACTTTTTTTCTCTTTTTTCTAAATAATTTTTGTAAACGTTGGCAATGAAATTTCGCCAAGATTGAAATTTCATGGGTATTAGGACCTTTATGGCCTCGATATTCACGCCGTAAGGTTTGAAACCATCCGCGGCATTCAGTTCGGCAAAAAGCTTCACCAACGAGGAGTTTTTGACGCCACTTTTTCGGCCCGCCTTAATTGAAATCTCCCTCGGAACGTGGGGACGGGTTTTATTCCGCGAGCGTGTCGGCTTTCATGGGATTCACCTTGTCACAGCCGGATAACAGTCGTGGTTGAATAGGGCCACGCTAGGGTAAATCGCCACTCCTAGATAAACAGGTCTACTCCCTCGAAAACGATGCTCAGAGGCGATTCGGGTCTCGTAGATCTCGTGGGCGTTGAATTGCAGGAGCTGCAAGTTCCTCAGGAGCAAAGACCCCACGGCGACCTCTTCAGGGCTGGGCTCTGAGCAAATGGATTATGGAGAGCGAGAATAATTTCCAGATCCTCAAGGAACTATAACTGAATGTATGTGAATGGAGTCGGCGGTTGTTAGCGAATCGCTTCATGGGACGTTTCTTTTGAGATAAGTATGGCACGAGATAGACGAGAAAATTTGGGGATCGAATTTTGTCCCAGCGTACAGAAAAAAAAAATAAATAAATAAAGCACTTGCCTTCTTGGCACTGGATGGTATTGCTAATGTTTTTCTTCTACTGTAAGGACAACCGTGCTGTATCAGCAAAAATAATTGCGATCGTATCGCACGTGGATGTAATCATAGAGTAAAAAGAAAATGTCGGTATTTCTCAGTAAGAGCTTTTGTTGACGTAAGTCAAATCGTTTTTTGTCTTTCTATTAAGGTGAAGTGAAACATCCTTCAAATCAGTCGATTCGAATATAACACTTTTTTTTAAGGGTATTAAACCAAACTGTCCGAAACTTTGACACATCACTCCTGATCATCTAAGAATTGTCCTGACACATTTAAAATTTGGATTTTTTTTTTAATTTTTTAACTCAGCCCAAACCAGAACTAAAATGGCGTCGAACTCTCATATTTCGATCAATATACAATTATCGAAGGCTCTGATATGAGAAACGAAAGGGTCAGGATAATATTACGACAATTTAGAACACTCTGGTAGTCGATAAACTCGCATTTGAACAGGATAAAGGCAAAAAAAGTGTTGTATGCGCTTCTATGCTATAACGATGGGAATACGAGGTCTCGGAGTAAAAATTTAATTGACCTGGAAATCACAGATGGCGCAGGGGGACCCTCTGCAGTCAATTATGGCCCCAGAATGTATGAATCTAGAGGATTTCTGGAGTTTTACTTCGATTTCTTGATAATTATTGTACGAAAACGACAGGTGGAGCATGTCATTTGGTACAATATCCAATATAATTCGACACAGCTGTCAATATAAAAACGAACGTCGGCAACGTAGGCATTTAGAAAAATCTTCTTTATCAACGTCGATCAAGTTCCTCGACGTGTTTCACTTCACCTTAAGACTGTGAATTATTTTGACGATTGTTTCCCGGCAAACTCACCGAAGGGGGTTGAAGGGCTCTCAAGAAATCCGACCTTTTGCAAGCATCTCGTCAGGAAAGCGGCCATTACGGTTCGTTGAAGGAAATCCTTCGGCGATCTTTGTCTCGACAGTGTTACGAGATCGTACGCTCTGATGTCCACGTCCTTAGTGAGGTGTTCGTCCTCTTCCGGAAGATGGTCCATTGTCGGTGTCTCGGACTCCTTCAGCTTCTTCTTCCGCAATCGGCGCCTTGCCGACTTACTGAGCTTCGGTTCCGAAGAAGATTCTGCCACCAGAGGGTCAGATTTCGGCTCCTTCGAGAGGATCTTCCGATGCATCTTCAGGCACTTCTTCGGCCCTGTTTGCGTCACCATGCGAAGAGCCACCATGCTCAGGACACTGATCCCTGATCCTTAAAATGGCAAAACTTAATTCTCTGTCTTTATCTTATTGGAACGAATCTGTTTTGTCTTATTTATTGGCATCGGATTAAATTCAGGCAGCCGCGTTTCGATTCTCCGCTCTTTGCGAGGCAGGAGTGAAAACGGTAATGCGCATTCCTCCTTCAAACCGACGTTCAATTCAACTCTCGTCGATCATCGTTTGAGAAGTTTCCGAGCATCGAGCACTTTTCTCTCTTCCACTAGTCGCGATGAAAAACGTGATAGATGCACCCGTGATTTTATGGGAGGCCCTTGATAAGCACTGGCTTGAAAGAAATGCCCTCGATGGAACGATTCTTTTAAAAATACAATTTTTTGTTATAAATCCTAAATGCATAAAATGAAATGTGTTTATTGATTACCTATTAACAGCGCTATGATTTTGCACTCGTACTTGTGGTAACTCTCAAGTGCAGTTTTCCTGCATTTCTCCCCGCAGAAGGCCACGCTGCTGCACTCTGGACAGCCCAGGGGAGCTCTTAACCTGAAACGAAGCAAAAGTTACCTCGACCATCCCAATTCGAAATAAGATTTCGAACTGAAACGCGACGAGATGTCTTGGTCGAAGTTGGGACGCGGTGGCTAAAGTTAAATTAACAATGGTCACGACCACCAACAATGGATTTCCGTGAAAAAGTGGAGGGTAGTTGCAGTATCGATGCCGGTTTCGACGCCGTTATCAGCAGTCTTGAATTTATCCTAATTTTAGTTAGGGGAGTCTGACCAACTTCGAAGTAGATAAAGTCCACTCAGGTAAGTCTGTCAACGTTTAAGAGTGCCTTGATCCTTTTTTTCCCCCCGAACATAGAACTGCCATACTTTCTTACAGGTCCTTCGAGTGCGCAACTATTCGCAAACTTTTCACGAACTTTTCGAGCGAGAAGCGAGCCGCGTTCCTTCCGACTTCACTTTCGATACTCGAGGTAGTTTCTCGGCTATGTAAATACTCGACGGAATTTCAAGGCTTTTTATTTTCAAAATCAAGCTAGAATATTATAACAGGATATAAATCGCGCTTAGGCAACGAATGCATCGCTGTGAAACGCTTTATGAATTTTTATTCTTCAATTTCTAATAGATTCAAGATGGCGGCGGTCGCCGCGCAGATCTTTGACGGAGCTCAAAGCTTCTCCTGACGTTCGTCGTCTTCGGCATTGATTTCCACCAGCGGGTATTAAGATTGCACACGTGACTTGCACGTAATTGCCGACACGCGATGAAATTCAGCTCACGTTCTCATTACCTTCTCTCGCACCTGAAGCGGAGGAATCCACCTGGGGAGAAGCCGGCGTCGAGAACGGCCCGAAGTTCCGCTTTCGTCGTCGATATTTTTCACGCTATACCGGTTTGAGTAATAGCATAATTCGGGAGATTCATGCCGCGTTACAGGGAACTCGAGATTTTATTTACACCTCCCTTCGGACCGTTTAACTCATTCTACCAGTTTTAACTGCTTTACCCGTGATAAGATCGCCTCCGCCGAGGTGCCTTCTGAGACTTTTCAGACTTGAACGATTATCCGTGAGACGTCGAATTCAGAAATATGTCCTTAAGGAGTTATGAAAGGATTCTACTATATATACCAAAAAGTCAAAGTATTTATAAAACTTTTCTTCAAACCAAGTGCACGGAATAATTTGAAACTTTAACACGCGATTATGGAGGTTTTAATGAAAGCCTTGAAACTCGCGAAATTTCATTTTTCTACAAAGAACTTCTTTTCTTCGTTCTTGTCCGGGATGAGTAGAAAATGTTTTCTTTTAAACAATTAAATTTCGCGAGTCTCAGGACCTTCGTTAGAACCTCCATAATCACGTGTTAAGAGTTTTAGATTATTCGACGCACCCAATTTGGCGAAAAGTTGACAAAAAATGATTGACCCGGGTCCTATCCCATTTTCGTCCTACCTTAAACGTTTAAAACCGCGAGACACGAATTGTTCGTCCAAAAGTGTAAAGAAAAACGCGAGGAATTAAATTCGACGTACCGAGCTTTCCCGTCTAGCTTTACTTGGATCAGAGACATGTCGTCGGTTCCAATTCGGAGATGGCTTGATCTCCCGTGGTTGAACTCCCTCCACCTTTTTGCCAGAGGGGAGCTTACCTGGAGAAACAGTGTTGACAGTGAGTGCCGTAAAAATCGGGCAGGAGACAAGCCGCCAGGGGTGGCTCGGTTGCCAGGGTGTCCCCAGGGTGGATCTCTTCTGCGGCGACAGCGTGCCTCCCAGCTCCAGGAGTTTCCCTCACCTCGACGAGTCTGGATGATCCAGAAAGCGTCGGATTGGCACCCCCCTTCAAAGGCGGTATCGTCCTCCCTTAAGAATTATTTATTACGATTAATCTCCCCAGGAGTTGGGTCTCCCTGTGGACGGAGGGCCAATCGATCGAGCTGCATTCGCCGCGAGCGCACTTATCCCCCTCGGATTGCAATGGCATTATGTGATCAGGTGGTTAATCGAAGTGATGTATTAAGGTGATACGAAAGTGGCGTTAAAGAGGTCTCCTTTCTGAAACTTTCCTCCGAACCCGGTGTACCGAATCTTTTTAGACTTTACAACGTGAATACAGAGACTATGAGGAAGGTCCCGACACCCACGATATTTCGATTTTTTGTAAAATTTCTTTACAGACATTTAGTTAAATTTTGTATAAAAATATTTCATGGGTGTCCCGGCCTTCCTTTTCATGTTTGAAACGACTCCGTACATCCAGTTCGGAGAAGTTTCATGAACGAAAGAATGACCTCTCCGATGCCACTTTCATATCCCCTTCAATGTAAGAAGAGAGGGAGAGATGAAAAGGTAAACTTGGAGTGGTCATTCTCGTCGGGGATTGTTTACCTGGAGTACTCGTTTCTAGAAATGTCTCTGGGGGATGTTGAACCGGGAGGGAAAAGACAGGATCCTGGGGGTCGATTAATTGATACGTTGATGGAGTACGACCCTATCTCGAGTCTGTAGATTCTACAGTCTGTAGAGACCAGGTGAGGGGGTTCTACCGACCTCGAATGGAAAGATCGCCGACCTCCGCGTTCCTTTGTCGCATCACGGAGTCAAATGCAAAACCGAAGTGAATGATCGAATTAAATCTGGGATTTCTCACCTCTGTTGTCTACATTCGCCCTGTTTCACCCTCTGAACGCGTCCCTTTTGTTTTGATTTCAAACTGACATCACGTAGATAGGGTAAAGTTAGAATGTGTGGGGTAGGTCAAGATCGCGTGGTACAGGTCAAGATTATTTAGGTTAAGGTAAAAGTATCAGTGGCCGAATACCTAAGACGTCGGTCAGATTAAGATATAATTTGTACGTTTTACAGATTTTTCTGTAAGTTCAACAGATTTTGTTTCTCCGTGTAGTTGAAAACGCTATAAGGTGTAGAAAAGGTAGCTAAGAGGAAGAAATCTTGTTTGCCGCGTTTCCCGATCCTCTCTGTGTTCTCGCATTTTCTAATATTTTCGAATATTCGCACTTTCAAATATTCGCATTTTCGAGTTTTCGCGTTTCCACTGAAAATCCTCGACGCGGTGTCCAGCCGAGGGAACATCCAGGGACCATGGCCGCAGGCGAGTCGCCGAGAGAGCGATTCGAGTCCGGCTGCGGAATTAATTCCGCAATATCAATGCCCAGCGGAAGTTTCAACTTCGTTTTCGACTGGGCGGAATTCAAAACATATCTCTAGGCTTTTCGCCCGGTGGATGGAGTAACGAGTGCATTCGAGGACGCTCCCATGTCGAGTGTCTTCACCACGTGTCGAGAATACAAAGAACATGGCTGGTTGAATTTCATGGAACCGAAGCTTTCCGCAGACTAGGTACCCTTTTGTCGGACGGATTGTAAATATCTTTACTCGCCTTTTTAACGCGACCTCGGTGGATATTAATTTTCCGCATTTAATGCCCGGTGGAAATTTCAACTTCGCTTCCGACCACTCTGAAATTGAAACCTTCCCCTACGTTTACACCCTACGATGGTGGAGGGTGACTGGTATGTACGAGGGGTATGACGAGTGCACGTATATACAGTGCACGGTGCCAACGGAACGCGCGAATTTATGCCCTATGTGCTGGTCTTGCATGTATCGAGATAGTTACTCTATATTTACTCCAAGTAAATCTTACTCCTGTGTACAAAACAAGTCATATATCTTTGCATGGAGTAGACGGCGTCGAAAATCATTTCGACAAAATGGCCGACCCTTAGCATGTCCCGACTCAGGGTTTTATTATTACTACATTCGTGTATACACGTTATATGTCGGTGAAACTGCAATTATCCAGTCAGCAGGTGTAATCGAATTTGTTACCCCTTTGAGAAAGGTCGAGCTTGATTTTCATCCCGGCGGAATTAATATTACAATTCGTTTTAACCGTAATCATTGATTTTCTTTTTTCGATTCGCTACCGGCGGGTTTTAATTCGCAGTCAATCCCCTGCGAACTTTTACGCCCGACAAGTTCGACGCTGAAGGCTCGTTTTACCCTCTAGCTACCTGTCAGCTTGACATGTCATGCAGTGCGTACATTTTGAGGCACGATGCGCTGTTTAATGCAGGCCGAAGGACTCCTCTTATGTAATGGGATATTCAAAGGGCAACTCAATCGTAATTAAATAAAACTCGAAGCCCCTCGCCACCGAAGTTATGGTATTTTTGCGACAAAGTCCCGCAATTTTTTAAGGCGATCCACATCGGGAAGTTCGCGAGGCATTCGAAGCATTCGCGAGAGGACTGTCATGGAGACGAACCCTTCATGGCCGGCGACGCCATTTTGACGAAATACTTCAAACGCCGAAATTAATTTCACTGCGTTAGCGAGTGGCGGAACTCTGGCTTTGAGGAAACTCGCATCGAAAGTATCTGCCCTGTTTTCGGATAAAATGTTGGATCGAGAAGACACGCGTTTCCAGAAACGTAATATCTCGATTCGTGTACCGAATGCGTCCCGTCCGCCATCTTGTCCGCCATCTTGTTCGCCGCGGGACTCATCGTTAATTCATGACTTTTCCTTTAAATAACGCGAGAAAATCATCCATGCGATTCGCAAGCCGTGAAAGATCCATGCGTAATTAAAAATGGATGGATTATCGACGTAACGTCGATCGTTTAATCGCAATTAACGAACCATCTACGAAATTAATTTCGTCAATCCGTATCGAGAGATCTGCACCGCGGTTTTCGATCCCGACAAGTTCGAGTTCGATGACTCGTTTTGTCGACCTGGATCCCGTGAAATATCGAAACGTGTACAGGAGACGGGATATAATATCTGGCGCAGCTTTATGTGCCACCCGATGACAATGGACCGTCCAAATAGGACAATTACGAAGTGCCGAGTGAAACCGCTTTATGCATCGAATTTTGCATAGAGGCACGGTCTTCCCCGCCTTATCGGCGGCGATCGTTGGGTTTATTTCCCAATTGATTGATTTACACGTTATACTTACAAGAAAGGTATCCCAGGTCGATCTCTCCGATTTGTTTGCTTTTATAATATGTTATAGTAGACTAAAAACTAAGCGACACGTATTTTTTTTATCCGCCATTAAACACTTTAAGGGGGTGAAACCACCATACAAAGTAAGGCATGTCAAGGGGCGATTTGGCAGCTTCACCCACAAGAACATAATATTTTTTAACCAATCCACCTGGAAAAGCTTTCTCATAACGAGAAATGAAAAAGATAATTTTCTCAATTAAAAAAAAAAATAAGCGGTGAGCCACCCCTCACAGGCCTTACTTTGGATGGTGGTTTCACCCCCTTAAAGTGTTTAATGGCGGATAAAAAAAAATACGTGTCGCTTAGTTTTTAGTCTACTATAACATATTACAAAAGAAATCAATTCGGAGAGATCGACCTGGGATACCTGCCTTGTTAGTCGGAGCTACCGTGGTGGCGAAACCGCGCGCGACGCTCGCAGACAGTTTCGCGCCCTCGCGGCTCTCGGTTAGATCGCAAACCTCGCGCGAGCAGTCTGTGACGTACCACCGTCGACTTAATCAATCGAATTAAGGTGTCTCGAAGTTTCGCCTCGGTGTTCCTAAGTGCGACACTAGCGCGCTCGGTTTCCACGCGGTCGTTACGGAAATTTCCAGGGATGCGGGGAACACCGGATTTGCGGGGAACGACCTCGTATAATATTCGAAATAGAAGTTCCCTTTCGCGAGTCTGGGCGATCGCAAGTGAGGTTAAGGTGATATAAGAGGGTCATTCTAGATATATAAAACATGAAATACTTATTAAACTTTTCATGCATTTCAATGCAATCGTTTGAAAAGTCAGCGTGTGATTATCAGGGCCCTAAGGAAGAACGTGGTGCTCGTGAAATTTCATTTGGGATAAAAAATTCTTTTTATTTATCCCAGACTAGAACCAAGAATACATATATATTTTTTTAATGAATTTTCATGAGCACCACGTTTTTCCTTAGGACCTCCATAATCACATGTCGAAGTTTCTAATAATTCGATGCACCCAGTTTAGAGAAATGTTTTATCAATATTTTGACGTTTCATATATTTAGAATTACCTTTTCATATCACCTTGAGCGTCGCTGATCGTGATTGCCGGTTGACTGGGTCAGCCGAAACTTTTTCACGATTTCTTATCGTTTTTTTTCGAAGCATTATCGGAAAGAGGGCCGGAAACTTTCGCAGCCTTAAACCGAGCGTTAATTAAAAAGTTCAGCTTCATTTAGTCGAAAAGTCATTCGAAGAATTTTTTTGGCTCCGTGATAATAACCTACTTTTTTGTAGGTTATGGAGAGAATGGAAAATTCTGGAGAGATCTTTAGCGTGGATTTTTGTTGGAGATCGGAAGTGGTTGTAAATCGAATTTCGGGTAATGGGTGGAGTGGGGGAGTGACGAGGGGAAATTTCAGACCGGGTAACGAGAGTGAACGAAAATCGAGGAGCGTCGATTAATCCCTTAAGTAGGTAGGAGCGGATTTTTCCGAGCTACGTCCGACCAGTGGGAGCTTCCGACCCGGAAATGCAGTTCGACTCGAGAAGCGGGAAGCTTCCTTGTCAGATACCACGGTTGCCATCAAACGGATTCTTCAAATTCCTTGAAAAAGCACGATGTACAAAGTGGGAAGTAAAAACTTGGAAAGAACAAAATTAAACACGATGGAAAATAAATTCGTTTCTCGACTTAGGTTCTTCAATTCTTTCCGTCTTGGAAACGTCGTTCAATCGAGGTTGCCATTAAGAAAAACAGCTTGAATTCCTCTTCCGAAAATAAAAAACGTACAAAATGTGAAGCGGAACTCTGAGCACGATTAAATCTCAAGTATAAATTCGTTGATTAATCTCCAAAGAGTGGATTTAATAAAAATTCAAGTTCTTCAGTTCCTTCCAACTCGAAAATGCCGCTCGATCGCGGTTGCTGTCAAACGAATTTCCTAAATTTCTCAAGAAAAAAAAAGTACAACGTACAAAATTCGAAGCGAAACCCTGAGCACGATTAAATTTCAAGTATAAATTCGTCGATTAGTCTCCAAAGAGTGGATTTAAAAAAAATTCAAGTTCTTCAGTTCCTTCCGACCCGAAAATGCCGCTCGATCACGCGTCTCGCGGTAGGTGGCGCGGTAGGCGCGGTTGCCGGGTTCGCCGCGGCGCTCTGCGGGACTCGTGCTCGGCCAATCGAGTTACCTCCTCCGAGCTTCCGCCACGACGTTCCCGCTAAACGCAACGTAAACACGCTCGTTTCCCTCCTTGGCATCGTCGCGGGGTGCATTGTATCTGCATAGATTCGCTGCGCGGATGCTAAACGAATATCGAATTAAGCGCTGTCCCGGGGAAAATCGACTACGCGTCGCCATGGCGACCGGCCGCGCGCGCGGCGCGTCACGTCGCCGCGGCCCGGACGAATGGCAACACGGCACGCGACCACCCCGTGTCCGTCCGTCGACCGAATCCGCTGGATCGACTCACTTCGATGGGTCGATGGTCGGACACGACCAAGAGCGCCTTCCAGATACTTCATAAAAATCTGACAGCGAAGCCAAGTTGAAATTAGAGTTCGGAATTAAAAAGAAAGATATCCCGAATAGAGTGGAATTAAAAAGGAAGATAACCCGAATAGAGTGGCATTAAAAAGGAAGATAACCCGAACAGCGAAAGCGCCAAAGTATTAGGTCGAGGAATAAGTTCCCGCCGGTTTTAACGTAACGTAACGTGATTAATACACGCGTATTACTCTTTTTAAATCTACACTGGGAAAGAAAGAAATTCATTGAACCAAAGGTATATTTCTTCGAATGGTCCCAAAGAATTTCACTCGGATAAATTCAATTAAATTGTCACAATTTGGAAAAGAACGTTGAGTCCGTTTTATTCGAATTTATTCCTGTGAAATAATTATTCTTTCGTCTACGAAATATTTCTTTGGTTCAATGAATATTTTTTTTCTCGGGGTATATGCGAGGGGGAGGTATACAAAGGAAGGTATTCGCGGCGGAATTCTATTGGATATTACTTCCTCTCGTTTTATTAAAATTGATACGAATTTTATCCAGATTCAGCTTATACGCCAGGGGAAAAAAATAACCGGAAACTGACAATAACGGGCGTGGGGAATATGTGTGGTAGGGAACTGTAGAGGCTCACTCAACAAGTGAGAAGGCGCAGTTACGGTCTCGCTCCCTGCAACGATAATACATTTCTGACTCGGCTTTTATTTTCGGTAATATTTTTGCTTCCACTCCTTGGTGCCTCGGGGCGTGTACTTCGATGTTCTTTCGCGATATTCCGCTTGCAGTTATGCAGAATTATATCTACGCGCGGAGCCCACTCTGCATCTGTTGCGACTGCGAAGGAACAGCTGACGGCGTGCACAATCTGAGGCAAAAACGCGGTTAAAGCTGAGCGAGGGTGAGTCGCGTTTGCATTTTGTGAACGGTTTTAACCGTGGAAAAATTCCACTCAACATTCTAATATTTTTCCTTAATTATTACAGATTACCAAGAAGTCTGTTAAGGAAAAGATTAACCGCAAAAACTCGAGAAAAGAAGAGAAGCCACGAGCGAGGGTAACTTGCGTACTTATCCAGTTAACGGATTGAGCTGTAGAAAAATTCCGCTCAACATTCTCTCCAATACTTTTTAATTATTGCAGATTGTCAAAGAATTGTATAATGAAGAATTAATTGCACAAAGTCGAAAAAGAAAGTTAAGCTGCAAGCGAGGGCGAGTCGCATTCTTATCCAGTGAACGATTTCAGCGGTGGAAGAATTGCGCTCAACATTTTCTCTAATACCTAGTATTACAGATTATCAAAGAATTGTATAATGGAAAATTAGTAGCACAAAGTGGAGGGAACAAAATGAGTCGCAAGTTGGCTGGATAGCCCGAACTGGCTGCCGATGCAAGTTTAACCGCCTAGGAGGAACTTTCGAGCTGGTTTTAACAATTTCCCTGGGTGTCCGAAGTTGGGGCGCCCGTCGGAGATTTTCCTCGAGACAAGGGTAATAAAAACCCGCGAGCTTCGTTACATAAATTGCGGTTATTACGAGATAGGGGGTGAGTTCGGGCACCTGAATCCTGCAGTCGTCGATAGGCCGACGAGAGCTCTTACCCTGCGCCCTTTCGTGCCGGCGACGAGTCGCCTCACCTGCCTCCACCCCTGGCCACCCTCTCGTCCTGGTCCCAGGATTCCCGTCCAGGTGAGGGGCACTACCCTGCGGAAGTCTGGCGTCGGTCTCGCGATTGCAATCTGCCAATTTCCGACCGAGCTGCCTCCTGGAAGTCGCAACCCATTGTACAGTCGAACGAGTAACCGCCACTGCAAGGTGATTATTCCCAAAGGGATTATTTATTATGGAAATTTCGGGGTAATCGATAAGTCCCGGTTGTAACAACACTCTACATGGGATCCTTGATCAAGGATTTAACGCGTGGTTAGAGTTAACTCCCTCATTTCCATTGGGTACTCAACATTGGATTTTAATCTTCGGTTCATAATTAATTAAAGTTAATATCACGTTAATCGTTGAAATTCTTGTAGGCTCATTGAAGGCGCAACCCATTGTACAACCGTGCGAGCGAGTGCCACTGCAAAGTGATTATTTCCAAAGGGATTTATTTATTATCGAAATTTCGGGTTAATCGATAAGTCTCGATTGTTTCAACACTTGGTATAGGATCTTCGAACAAGGATTCAACGCGTGGTATGAGTTAACTCCCTGATTTCCATTGGCCACCTAACGTTGGATTTTAATCTTCGGTTCTTAATTAATTAATTAAAGTTAATATCACGTTAATCGCTGAAATTCTTGCAGACTCACTGATAACGTGGGTGAAGCCGAAGTCGGTAGGGGTTGAGAAAATGATGTAAAATGATAAAAAATCGGAAAAAAATTATAGAAAATCGTGGAAAATCATCGGGTGCATACACATCTCATCGCCAGAAGAGGAAGCGCCGAGTGACGACTGCGCACGTATCAGCGTTATTTGCGCTTATCAGCTCGCGAGATCGCGAGGGCGCAAGAAGAAGGATCGATAGTTCGTAAGCAAGCGGCGTTTGTTCTTTCAAAGAGGTCCGAGGGGTGCGGAAGTAACTCGACGGGGAGCCCATAGTGTCGCGAGAGGCGCGATAAATCGAATTTAACTCGATCGATCGATCCGTCACTGGGTGCCGCCATTCCCGCGGAGAGGCGGAATTTGAATTTGAAATTTATGAAAATTGACTCCAGCGCGGATTTTAGTCAGTCGCCGTCTGTCTCGATTAATCGCGCCCGCTGAGACCGCGACGATTCCGCGCCCGCGGGCATTTCGACGCGGATCTACCGCGCAGCGAACCCAGCAAGGGGGAATATCGTCGCTCTCGATGTTTTTTATTCGATATTACTAATCGTACGCGATGTTGCCTCACCCTTGTTTGATTTTTACATTCACGGTCCCTACCGATTATTTTCAAAATGGAAGAGATAAGCGGTTCTTTTTTTTTTTTTTTTTAGTGTAGCAAAAGAGGAGCTATTCACTCGGAAATCAGCGAAAACGATTTCTTTTTTTTCTTGAGAGCCTTTGATCTCATATGATAGACAATAATGGAGTTCGGTGACAAGTGACGTTCGGCCTTAAAATTGCGACAGTCTTTTGATGATTTCCAACGATTTCCAATGATTTCTGTTTACGATTTCCAGCTGATTTCCACATGATCTCCGTGGCTAAAATCCATGATTTCCCGAATGAAAACCCCCTCGGTAGTAAAGTTGTACATTTTTCCTCTCGATAATTCGGGAATGGCGGAATAGACGGACTCGATCGGACGTCTTTGTACTTTGTTAAATTATTGCTGAATCGATTATTTCAGAAGAGAAGAGGAAAATCCGGGCTGGGAGTTTTCGATCTCTTGGCTGATTGTTGAGAAAGACAATGGTATTCAGTGCAGCGAATCCATGTCTCTGTCCGTATATATTTTTTCTAACGATAATTCGGAAATGGCGGAAAATTCCTGGAAGGGTGGAGAAAAATCCGCACCGAGAGGTTTCGGTCTCTTTGCTGTTATTCGAGGAAGGCACGTTTCGCCCGGAAGCGCGGGGCCGGAGTTTTATTCTTCACGCACCTCCGAGGGAAAGGCTGCATTTGCTTGGGGAAAGAAAAAGGAAAACCAGGGGAAATAGAAAAGCGCGCGGCGAGTGCCATTGGCGGTTTCGACCTCGTACTTACATCGAACCAAGGAGGGTCCGGCTTTACGGAAGGCGGAAGTACGGTAGCACGCCGGAAGTTCGAGGTGAGAGACGGCCAAGTGCCACGTGGGCGGAATGCTCATTGAGTTTTAACGAAATCGAAGGTACCGCTGCGAGAGGGACGACCAATCGCGGCGACGCTTAGGCTACTTTCCGATGGGCCGGTCTAGGGGAAACAGGAGTGCGCACTGACCTCAGCTCTTCCGGGATGTCCTCTTCGGCGACTAATTCGAGATCCTGAAGAGCCAGATCGCGATCCTTAAGGTCCATTAAGGTCGTCGCTCTTGCTAGCAACGCCAGGGGGTAGGTGTAGCCGCCATCGACGGATTTGTTTTTCCCTGAAATGAAATCATAATTCCATAGCTTACAAAGAAGTAATCGTTTTTTTTTGTCTTGTCAGTACAACACAAATTTTGCTGGCCAATTTTCAAGTGTTCACGTTCATTGCTTGTGAATTTTCTTTTTACGACTGGGAATTCTTTTCTTCTCCGCAGCTTTGTATACAGAGGCAGCTTTCTAATCGGAAGACCCTATCGATTAGTCGATTACTCCCGTGCTTGTCGATCATCTCTAGCGATGCGTCATGACGTCCGTTAACGCGTACGTCGACCTTAATGTACATCGTCGACCTTAAGCTGCGCATGTCCTGCATCGGAAGGACTTATCCCGGAATTCGGGGTGAAATCGCTTGATTTACAGGACTTGCCGGAAGTCGTTCCATCTCGCCGCATTGTCTTGACGCGGATGCGTTGCTCGAATTCCCCGAGTGATTACTTTAACTATTCTCATTGCCGATCTGGTAACTTCGGCATAACCGCAGGTTAATTATAGAATCCACATCCCGGGTGGGACGAAATCGAGTTAGGCCGCTTTATTGGGCGAATCCCTCGCGATATTCTGGCAGAATTCGAGGCACCACCGAGTTATTAATTCCCTGACATTTTCATAAACCTCATTTTCAACCGGCCTGGTTCGGTATTTTTCGAGTATCTCTATTTGTTATTCCCAGCGAGAAAAAAGAAATATAGTACGTTTCTAAATAGTATTCAGAAGAATACATATTTTTTCTCAGTGTCCTCCGTTCGGACGGACTATTGAATTTCGAGATTTTCGCCGTTCGGATATACATTGAGAAAGAAATATTTCGTTAATTCAAGGAATAATTACTTGACTCGAATAAATTAAAATAAATTATGATCATTTATATGAAATGTTGCATTTAATTTATTCGAGTTTATCTGTATAAAATTAGCGCTCTTACAATTAACAAAACATTCCTTTGATACTATTCGAAGAATTAGTTCTTCGGTTACAATGAAATGTTTTCCTTCGGTTTAGCGAAACTTTGAGTACAGGATTTTCAGAGTACGAGGGAATTGGGCATTTCTTGAGGATGAAGTTTAGCGAGGATTAATCGTACCAGTGATTGGCGCTCTAAGGACTGCCATGCTTAGGAGATGCAGCGCCTTCTCGTGATTTCCCAGAGAGGAGGCTAAGAGTCCTTCCAGCCTCTTGCTCCTCGAGATTTCAGCATCCTTATCCCGGTACAGCTCCTTGATTCTCTCCAGAGGATCCACAAGGACGCTTCGAGACCTTGGGTCCTTGAAAATCCCGCGAAATCTGTCTTCGTCGGTCTCGTGTTTGGCGAACACCTCGTCGATCCATTTCTCACCGACTTCCTGGACCACCACTTCGCAAAAGTCGTGAAAAAATCCCTTTCGTCCCGAGCAGAGAGTCTCGGAGGAGCACAGTCTCCTGTAGAACTCGGCAGAGTCCTCCATTATTGTTTATAAATTACGTGAAGTAGATAAATCTCCGTTGAACTCAGTAAAATGGCACTTCCGTTGTCGCGAATACCTTCACTTAATTTCTGTCATTTTTCTCGGTCGCCGCTGGTCCACTGAATCTCTTATAGATCAGCCTCGAGGATAAGGAGCTATGTCAAATTATGATATCACAGGCGCCTCGATTATGACGGAGCCGCGATTTATGGGATGAAACTTCGGCGAAACCTACTCGTAAATCACACCCTGAAGACGACTTCTACATTACTCAGACCGTGGGTGTTATCCAGGAAGGGCATTGTGACTCCAATTACGAGGACTCGATTTTTCACACCTCGCTCTAGGGACATTTCACCAGACTTCATATATCACTAGTAAAGGTACACACCCCGGTTCAAGACATGAACCCTATGTACAAAATTGCCGTTCCCTCGGATATTGCAAAATGTGCAATCATGATGGTTTGAAAAAAATAAATGGAATTATTTCCGGGGCTGATATATTTCACCGGCGAGGAAGTTCGGACACCCTCGTAGATTGTATGCAAACGAGAACGATGGGAACAAACGCGAGATCGCCGGTCACTAACAAGTCGGCGAAATTCTATCGAACGACTATCGACTCCTAGTTTCTTCCGTTCAACTCGCGACCCCGTAATTTTAGGCCCGCCGGTGCTCCTTCTCCCTCTTCCCCTCGATTTTATTTCCACCTCTCTCTGGCCCATCTATTTTCGTCGCGAACATTGCGAACGGTCCTAAGGTCCTCTACCTTCGGAATCCGAAAGGTGCAAAGCTCGGAAGCTCGTCGATAAAGTCGAAAGCTCGCCATCTTTCCGAAACTCCAAATTGCACGGAGCTGAAGAAGCTGAGAAGAAAAGAATGCAATAAATTCCGCAAGCCATTTTGCATCGCCATTTAATTCCACAGCCTTTATGAAAGCAATTTATTTCATATACACAATTTCACGAGGATAAGCGTGCACACATTAAGAGGAAAATCCGAGAATATGCTCAAACTCCTTTATAAATATTTTCGATTTAATTACGATGCACTTTCGCTATTTCGAACGCGTCCGCATATAAATGCGGACTCGTGGCGTACGTATCGCGTAGTTCGCGTATTTCGGGTATCCGGAAGATCTGCACAAGACCCGCGATGCATACTTATTGGTTATTCATAGGCAATCTCATATATCCGAGGCCACTTCGGGACATACATGATACTTCTCGGACTTCTTATGAATATTCTGCATCCGCTGAATTACGAGAGGCCGGCTCGGTGCGATATCTCTCTCCCGGTCCTATTTTTTTAATCCCAGCGAGTCTGCTATCACTTAGGCGCTCTCGGTGCGATTTTACATGACCCGGATTCACATCTACCCGGGGGTAAAATTAGAATATCGCGTCGAACAGCGAAGTGCATAATTCATCGACGATTGCATCTCTACGGATCCTCCAAGATGGCTCATCGTTTATTCCACCGTTCCCGTTTGGACGTCCCAAAGACTGAAGCGACGTCGCGCCTCGTTGGGACCACGGAGAGAACCTGGAAGCAACAGTCTATCCGCGACGTCATTTTCCCGAAGTATGAAAATAAAAGGAAGAAGAAAGGGGTAGAAGAGGAGGAGCTGCGTCGAGGATGACACATCGGTATCCTTTTCCTGCGTTCTCTCACCCCTTTCCCAGAGCCGTTCGCCAATAATCAATAGTGCTGCCTAAAAGGTTCAGTACTTTACCCTTGCACACTCGTCGCCAGCGACGTGACATTAACCCTTTTTTTTTCGACACCGCGGTATCGCGGTTTGCTTTATGTTATCGGTGAAAGTAAAAAGGTGACACTCGAGGAATCGATCGTCCTTAGAAATTTGACGGCATTTTCTGTTGCAATTACTCCACGACACAGCGAAACCATGCAGGAAAATAATCCATGGCCGTGATAAGAAATTTGAATTGGTCCTATAAACATAAACACTTGAAAATGGGCTAGCAGAGATTTTCCTCTTGCGTGAACAATAAGGACTGTTATTTCATTGGGATGGCAGAAATGTTATTTGGACGATAACCCTTTTCTTTAGGGACCGTGAGGTTATTAGGAAAAGTAGGAAAAAACGACACTCGAGGAATCGATCGTCCTTCGAAATTTGCCGCCATTTTGGGAAATAATTCACGGCCGTGATAGGAGATTTGAATAGCTTTAATAAATGTAAATACTTGAAAATTAGCTAGAGATTTATTTTCTTGCGTGAACGATAAAGACCGTTCTTTTATTGGGCCGACAGAAATGTTATTCGGACGATAACCCTTTTCTTTAGGGACCGCTTTTCGAAATTTGGAGGCATTTTGTGCTGAAATTTAATTACTCTCTGATGCAGTGAAACCGGCCATGGTTGTATCATAACCCCGATCGCCATTTATCGTGTCGAGTCCGCGTTCCGGAACGCGACAAAAGCGTTTTCCCTCTCTCTCGCTCTCTTCCGACCCCGGAACATTGGGACCGCTTATGATTCCTTTAATAAACGCTCATGCGTGTCGCATTTTCCATCGATCCCGCCTGTGAACCGATGCAAAATATTCCCGGTCGACGCGTCGCTCGGGGAAATAAACTCTTTCCCTCTCGCGGTGGGATCGCAGCTGCACGTTTTACCATCCCGGAGTGAATTAAATTTCCTCGCCCTTAGCACCTCGTGGAATCGTGTCTTTCAGGAAAGACGTGGAGACACGTAATCGAAAAGGTGCTCGACATTATGCACCATGCTCTCGGTGAAAGAGGTTTACCCACCATTCGGGAGTCGACGAGAGTAAAGCGTAATTTTATTTACGTTGAAAATCGTCTGTCGCCCTTCAATGGCGATAAATTGTACGCGAAACTTTCCTCCCAGGAGGTGAAAACTAACGGAGGCCGATCCTGATTTCACGTGTCCGATCCCCAAAATCGGAGTTCAGAACGTAAGGATGGCAAACACGGGAAGTTTGGTCGAGCAATTACTTGCACGCAATTACGGGAGGGCCGATGCAATTGATCGTCGCTCGGGGACGTCGTTGGGGAAAAAAGGGAATCGGCGAGCTGGCCAGAAGCCAAAAAATCTTTAACGATCCTGACCCACCGCGCCGTCCATTAAACTGGCTTAACTACTCCCGAATTTCCATTGTACGTAACTCGGGACATTCGTCGTTCCCGGTTCCTCGGTAAGATCTTCCCTTTCTCTCGCTGTTAGCTCCTGCTCTTCGGCAATCATGCCGCTCCCCGTCCGCCGTGTAAGTACGATAAGTTATCGCGGCACGATACCGGCCAACTTTTGCAAAGTTCCCTTGACGCGACGCCGACAGAATCGTGTCCTTCCCGTCCCTCCTTTCCTCGCACTTTGCGCTTAAGTGCCGAGGATAATTGACGTTAATCGCTCGATTTCCGTGGAGGCTTCAAAATCCCCCTGAGTTCGGCCATTGACTTTGTCTCCTCCGAGTTCCTCCTTGGAAAATTTCGAGTTTGGATTTCGGATGTCGTTGGATTTTCCGAGAGGGTTCGGCGCGATTTTTCTTCAAAACAGATTTTTATCGAACAGTTACAAGGGACGAAGAAAATCCCCTGAATTTGCTCAGGGACTGGATTCGTTGCCTCTGAGTTCTTTCTTGGACAGGGGGTGATGCTTTGAGGGGGCTGGGTCCGTTTTTTATTGAAAAAAAAAAAATACATTTTCATAGAATAATTCCGACAGATTTCGAAATCTCCCGAATTTCTAGCTTCCGAGTGACTCCTTGGAAAAGGAGTGATTTTTTGAGGGAGTGGGACACGATTTTTGTAGAAAAAAAAAATCCGTCTCCCCAGGAGGAGCGGAAACTAGTCCGAGCAGAAGGCTAACGATCGATGGTACCAGTACTGGTATGCCAAAATTGTTCCAACCATTCGTTGCCTCTTAGTTCTTCCTTGGAAAGGGGGTGATGTTTTGAGGGGGCTGGGTCCGTTTAAAAAAAAAAAACAGATTTTCATAGAATAATTTCAAGGGATTTCGAAATAGCCTGACTTTCCAGCTTCCGAGTGCCTCCTTGGAAAAGGAGTGATTTTTTGGGGGAGTGGGACACGATTTTTGTATAAAAAAAAAATCTGTCTCCCCAGGAGGAGCGGAAACGAGTCCGAGCAGAAAGCTAACGATCGATGGTACCGGTATTGGTATGCCAGAATTGTTCAAACCCTGATTAATCGAAATACCTATCCGAATTCCAGTCACGGCGGAGCGAAACTATTCGCATCGCTAGATCGTTTCAGTCTGGATGAAGCTACTCCGGGATAATTGACAAAATGGCGGCACCGGGGCGAAAACGTAAATATCAGCATTACTTTTCGTTGATTAGTATAATCCGCGCGGAGTATCCGCGACTATCGAACGAGAGTCATTCGATGAAACATCGGTCTTGATTAATCCCCTAATTGTATAATGTCGTAATTAGACCGTCGAGGTTCGGCGCGAGGAAACCCCCTCGATGGCGTTGATCTCGTCGACTTTATCAACACCCGGGAAGTTCACATCGGTTCCTTTCCACCTCGGGCCGTCCCTGCAATTATGCTTAATTTCGGGAACATGATCCAGAAGGAGGGGGAAGAATAATCTCCTCCCTAGGGACGCCTCCCTAGTTACAAAATCCGGGATTTAGCCGAGTCGCGACACCTCCCTCCTTTGTCCAAAAAGCCTCGATGAATCCGAGGAGTGAGTTGGAGCTGATAAGAAATCGACCACTCAACCTTAATGACACGAATCACTTAACACTATTCCATCCCTAAGGGCGACTTAACTCTAATTTATCCCGCAGAGACGATGCGAGTTCTTGTACAGTTCTCAAAGTAAAGCGAAGACCCATCAGGCATCTATGGTGACCAAACCTCTAAGTACTGACATACAGTGAATTAAACATGTTAATAGCCAAGGGTTTACTCAGTGAAAAACAATTGGATAACTCGAAGAAATATGCGATAACATCCTGCGATCAAATGCGTCCGAAGAAATCTCATATTGAGTAAGCAAAGTTGGTTTAAATCAACGTCGATTTTTCTTCTAAGCATATTAATTGTTTATTGCTATTGTATATGCAAATCAGGCAACAATGTGTACGTCCACATATATGTTTCATTCAATTGACCTTTCTTCTCAGGGTAGGGATCATCCCTCTCGTTCTTCGCGCTATCTCAAGAGTCTACATAACCTGCGATAAGGGGTGAGTTTCGCCATTTCCAACTATTGCCAACTATTCCCAACTAAACCCATCTCGCGAATTTTTACAGACTCGAGATAGGGTATCGGAAAGTTTCGCTAGATAACTCGGGCTTTCGCGTTGAACCAGACCGCGTAAACGCGTCCTGGGGGTGGACGCCGTATTTTCAGTGAGAGTGCTCCTTTCTCACACTTTCATCTCACGTGAGTTTCCTCGATTCTGTATCGCCCGAGTGAAAACGTGAAGTCCCTCGATTGCAAGAACTCACGTTAAGTATCTCACTACCAAAGTCAAGGTCACAGAGGGTCACGAGAGGTGTTCGTTTCTATCATTTTCACCACACTCGAGTTACAGAATAGGTAACAGGTAGATATAATGCGTCATGTAACATACGTGCTTTTCTACATATATATTACAACAAACAATACATCCCTAGTTTTATACGCGAGCGCGAATTACATTACGCCTTTCTATTTCTAAATAGAAAATAATAAATCCACTTAGAAATTTTATATTTGATATATCCTCCATATTGGAAACGTATTTACCGGTTCTCTACGAATTTCCACGGTAAACTACTTGGTTTACGTAATATACGTCAAGAGCCTCGAAAAACCCAAAATTATTCGACCCTGGTTCGGGCACCCTGACGCGTGTGGCGATGCGTGTGGCGATGCGTGTGTTGATGCGCGTGACGAGCCTCTGGCGACGAGGTGCACGGTTGGTGGGATTCCCTGGTGGGCCTCGATCGGCCAAAACGGAAAGCTCCGTGGAATCATCAGGTGGTTCGCCGCACCCTCGTTCACCCCCGACGCCGGACCGCGCTCAGGGTGTAGGCTCGGCGTCTGCGGGAAGGCACGCGTGTGCGCGTGCACTCACGGGAGGGGGCTTGTCCGTCGGCGGGAAATCCTTCCGGAATGTTAGCAGTCCGCGTGGCGCCGCCGGCTCCGCGCTAACGATCTCCGGGAATCCCCGAGCGAATCCATCGATCGAAGGAAGAGAGACTCGGTAGAGTCTCGCGCCAAGTACATCTGTAAAATGCAACATATGTTGAAATGCTGGATAAGTCGTTTGTGAGGGTTGGTCTGGCGGGTTGAGGGACTCGGTAGAGTCTCGTGCCAAGTACATCTATAAAATGAAACATATGTTGAAATGCTGGATAAGTCGTTTGCAAGGGTTGGTCTGGCGGGTTTTAAGGGACTCGGTAGAGTCTCGTGCCAAGTACATCTATAAAATGAAACATATGTTGAAATGCTGGATAAGTCGTTTGCGAGGGTTGGTCTGGCGGTTTTAAGGGACTTGGTAGAGTATCGCGCCAAGTACATCTATTAAATGAAACATATGTTGAAATGCTGGATAAGTTGTTTGCGAGGGTTGGTCTGACTGGTTGAAAGACATGATACAGTCTCACGCCAAGTATGCGTACAAGCGCAAAGGACCATTCTTGGCTAGACTCATAAAATAAATCGCAATTCGTAATCTGGGAAGATAAGCTGAGATTTTATAACGTCCACTCATGAGTTAAACCCGTACGGATCTATCGTGACGATTTATCGATACATGCGTAACTACCTTTAGCCTGTGGCGTCAGAAAGGACAGATTGAGATGGGCCAATCGGATTGCTGAAAATTTAATATCGCGTCGTAGTTAATTGGACAACTTTAACCGTTAGATTTGCGATAACCAATTGCGCGGTATCTTTGAAAGTCCAATCGCGGTCTATGAGTTAGAGTTATGTCAGTTGTGATCGAGGACGCAAAAGTGCGTCTCCTTTCTCGGGACGTATTTTTTCGCTCTGATAGTTTAATCGGGAATTAATGTCGCGGGGGGAGGGCAGTCGGTTTTGCCGATTAACGGAGAATTAACGGGAACGCCGGCGGGACACGCGAGTTCGCGTTGCCTCTTCGATTCGCCGCAGACGGCCCTAGTAGATGTAGGTAGGCATAGTTAGACGTCCGTATCGCAAATCGCCAGATGCGCCGGATAATAATTACCCCCCATTAATGGATTATTTGTAATTTATTAACCGTCGTGAATGTATGGCCCAAATTATCTTAATGTATGCTCGGGGCTCTGTTACCACGAGCCTCTCCCCAAAGTCGAGTCAGGAGGGGAAAAAGTCGACCCGAAATCGCGAAATCGTTTTGCACTATTTTCTTCTCTCAATTCCAGAAAATTGCAGATGGATAAATTCGAGGAGGTGAATAAATATCGCGGTTCATTTTATTAGGCAAACCGAGAGTGCCGGGACATACACGAAAAAAAAAAAAGACACTTGTACTTTTAACAAAGGACGGCATTGCCGATAAAGTTTCGCTCTTACCGCAGGAATAATCGCACCGACAACAAAAATGTTTGCCAAATTAGAAAATGAATTTTTTGCGACAGCCAAAAAAAGAATGTTCCACCGCTAGAAAAGAATATTCCAACAATGAATGGAATTTGCGTTTCCCCAGTGATGTAATCGGTTTTTTGCTGTCGATGTAACACAAGCGTTTCTCGACGAATATATAGCTAGCCCTTTCTCAACTGTTCACGCTTGCTGAGGCAAGTTATCATTTTTTGTTATGACGGTGAATTCTTTTTTCTTCGTCCAACGCCGTTGGCTAAAAGTCTCGATGGATGCAAGAGGTTTCGTAAGGTTCTCGAGGCCCTTAACTGGTTAGTGGGTAATATGCAGACGAGTCCACTCGAATTCAGAAGCTCTCCTCGACCTCGAGCGGAATGCAGTTATTAGGTTCACTCGTGTACGTGCATTTTCTGCACGCTGCACTACACCGCGTCTCGATATGCATCCGTTGGAGATGCCATTTCGCTCTGCAGTCAAGAACTCCACCGTAGACGTAGGATGATAAACCGCGCAAAACCACAATTGTTAATGAATCCCCGTCTTAATTCCATCTCTATTCGCCAACGGTAAAAAAACAAACAACCCAAAAAATACCCACCCTGGAAGAATAATTCCCAACCGCGGAATTTTCGTCGTAGGAAATGAAAATTAAAAGAAATTCCTTTTCGCTCTCTGCTAAAGAACTCCACCGATGACGTAGGATGATAAACCGCGCAAAACCATAATTGTTAATAAATCCTCGTCTCAATTCCATCTCTGTTCGCCAACGGTAAAAAGACCAACAGCCCAAAAAATACGCACCCTGGAAGAATAATTCCCAACCGCGGAATTTTCGTCGTAGGAAATGAAAATCGAAAAAAGTTATAGCAGACGCTCCCGATTTAATTCGAGCAGGTAATCGAATTAGCGAGATACTCGCAACCCATCAAACCGCGTAATTAAGCACTCGGTGGCGGTCTAATTACGACGGATCGGCAGGGTGATTTTTAATTCTTCTTTTAACAACCAGCCAGGGTCGTTCCGTCCGAGGGCGCAAAAATCCGCGGCTATCTTTTCTCATCCTTTCGAATGCAAAGTTGTAGTCTTACCACGCCTCGTTACACGTAAGGATAATTAGTCGCGGCGTTGGAGCGGAGTCACGTTGCACTGCCAGCCCCGGTCGAAACGAATCGATCGAATCGAGGGAGCGCTGCTCGTATCGTGGTAGGCGTCGCGACGGCCGCTCGCGGCTTAAGAGTAGCGAACGACGCTCTCGCAGTGCGCGACGCGATCTCCGCCCGTCAGCGTCGGGCGCTCTCGAAATTCCGAGTCCGCGCCAGTTTCCCTCCACCCTGTGGCCGGAGCTCGCGCCTTTCGCCACTGTCGTCCAGGGCACACCCATGGCGAGCGAAAGTCAAAATTACACCGGTCGAAATCTGGCATACCGGAAGTAAAGGAAGTTAAAAATTGGCGATTTCTCGAATGTCGATTTTCTTTTTTTTTTCTCTCAACACTTTCTACATTTTCCAAATTTTGCCACATTCTCGACGTATCAAGATTCTCAACGTTGCCGACGTATTCAAGATCGCCGACATTCTCGACGTGTTAAAAATTGGAAATTCTATCCACTCGGATAGTGCACCTCGAAGAAGTGTAGCAAGGTGTCGTGCATCGAGGCTGTGCATCAAGGAAGAGGTTTGTTGAGAGCGTCGAGGGTGTATCGCGGGTTCCCCCGAGACCTCGGAGTCCCTCGGGACCCCGAGGTCCCGGGGGCTCCTTGGGATCCTTTTCCCTTTCCCGAGGACGCTCGACGCGGTGGGGACTCCGACGGCCTCGTTGGGGAAGGTCGGGGAGCGGTAGTGTCGCGAAGTCCCGGGCCACGTGCACGAGTCGCTCTCGGCTCCCGGTTGGTAAATAAACAAGGCTCTCCCCGGATTCCAGGACTCCCGCCTGCCTGTTGTTCCCCCGCGATCCCGAGACATGGGCGACTCTGCCAAGAGGTATGTGGTGTTTTTGAGAACCCGAGGACACTACTTAGCCGCTGCCCGTGCGCGATCGTGGTGTCTCTGTGTTCGAAAGTGTTTCCAATCGTCCTGCTCGGTCTTTGAAGTCGGACGACGCGAAGCCCTCGAATTTTCGGATCTTCGGATCTTCCGATTCTCCGGTTTGCGGGTTTTAGAATTTTCGAATTTTCGAATTTTCGAATTTTCGGATTTTCGAATTTTCGAATTTTCGTATTTCGTGTTTTCGAGTTTTTGTGTTCTCGTGTTTTCGGTGTTTCGCACTTTAGGATTTTCGAAACTTCGGAATCCCTCCGTTTCTTTTCCCGTCCCTCCGGCGAGGGACGGACCTTTCGCGCCTTTTCGCGAGATCGAATTTTACCAACCATATCGCGATTCGCGAGCGTTGATATTCCACAGCCGAGCGAAGTGTCCCGAATCGTGAACGTCGCGACGACCGCTCGTTAACTAGTACAGTGAACGACGTAATCCGGCCGACGTTTTGCGAGTCGACCGCGGGACATTTCTGGGAACCTCGGTGAGTAGCCGCGATTTTCGCGCATTTCCTGTTCCTTCGTTTTCCTTTTTTTTCCCTGTTTTTTTTCCTCAGAGGTGTACGAATTTTCCGGGAATTTTTCTCCGCGGGGAGCGATCTTCGGCGTATTCAATCCGAGGCTGAAGTGAGCCCAGGATTATGGCCGTCACGGTGAAAACGTGGGATGTGGAAGGGTCGTGTGAATATTCGTGACTACCCCACGTGGAACTTTCATGCTGCCTGACGGAAATGCCAGATTTAAGGAGGAAACGGAGTCCCCTCTTAAACTGTCCGTAAAACGTGCACGCGACAAATAATGGCGACCGTTCGCGAATTGTCTCGAAAATTTCATGGATTCTTCGCTAATTCGCGGCGAGTATCGGTCGTCGGTGTGATAATATTAATGATAAGGGAGACGCGAGGAGAAATTATTGATGAAAATGTCTGAATAAAACACGCGATTCCGAAAATCCTCGCTCGAGAAGTGCGCCGAATATTCGGCGAGTGCAACATGCAAATCTCGGCGCTTCTTTATCATCCGTTCTGCAAGTCAAGGAGTCTTTTGTTGTCCCCGGAATTACAGATCCCCAGATAGTCGCGAGTCGCGAATCTCGGTTAGGCGAATCCGCCGAGTTTACGGCAAGGACTCGAACATGTCGATTCGCTAAACAAACTGGAATCTCCGAAGCTTCTTCCCGTGGAATACGTGACAGACATCCGGTGGGGTATCTACGATCTAGGAGGAATCATCCTACCATTGCAATTTGAGCGCGAAATCGTATCTAATGTTGCAGAAAATTCATGGACATAGAATATCATAGTCGGGGCACGTAGGAAATATCCTACAGGCCACTCGAGTCGATAAATAAATCGAGTTCTCGGTACAGTCGAGCGTCTTCCCTTTCGAGAGAACGTGCGCCTCGAACCGCGCTCGTGTCTTTCCTTCCCCTTAGTCAGCTGATCCGGTGGAACTGTGCAATAAGAAAAAAAAAATTAAAAAAAAAAAGAAGAAATTAGCACCCTTGAGATCCTGTAAATGGATTTTGACCGCGAGGTCTTCGGATCGTTTCTTCAATTCTACCGTCCATCGCAGAGGGTCTGATAAGGGGAAACCTTGTAATTGAAAAAGATTAACCGCCTGCAGATTTGGCATCAGAGGCCTTTAATTGGATTTTTGGTCGAGAGGTCTTTTAATAATATCTATTATAGTATCGTCGTCAGGGAACTTTCTATTTATTTGGCAAGGCTGGATAAATTCAAATACGAGTCTATAAACAGGGATCGGTTAACCTAACGTTATCTTTCAATTGGGACGTTCCAAGGTTTGTTTTCCTCGGCAGGGCTTCGATCCTTCGAGACCTTCTAAACTGTTCGAATTCACGGGCTAAGTGTGTGTAACTCGACATTCGAGGCCTCGGGTATTCCGGAAACCTTGCTTTCTCTTCTCGTTTCTCGTAATTACCCTCCAGGCTCAGATTCGAAGACGATATTGCATCGAGGCCCAGCCTACAAATTGGAGTGCGGACTATAAATAAACAAGGATACCCCCGGCTCCCTTGGATAAAGACGTTCCTCCGAAGTACGGAGATTTCGCAATCCTTGTCGGTTCTTAGATTCGCGATTATTCCCCGACGCGTTAAGGCGATACGAAACTGACGTCCGAGAAATCTCGTTTATGAGACTTTTATCCGAATTGGATAAATCCCTAATCATTTGACATTTTACCACACGAAAAAGGAGGCTCTGATTAAGATCCGGGAGATTTAGTTTCCTTTAAATCCGTTTAGAAGCATCTTCAATTAATTTTGCATAAACATCGCGACAACGGATCACATTAAGGTGAAGTGAAACCCCTTCAAATCAGTTGATTACAACACTTTTTTTTAAGGGTATTAGACCAAACTGTCCGAAACTTTGACACGTCACTCCTGATCATTTACGAATTGTCCTGACAAATTCAAAATTTCAATTCGATCAATCGACAATATACAATTCGATCAATATACAATTATCGAAGGCTGTGATATGAGAATCGAAAGGGTCAGGGCAATTTTACGACAATTTAGAACACTCTGGTAGTCGATAAACTCGAATTTGAACGGGATAAAGGCAAAAAAAGTATTGTATGCGCTTCTATGATAAAACGATGTTAATACGAGGTCTCGGAGTGAAAATTTAATTTAATTAAAAACGAACGTCAGCAACGTAAGCATTTAAATTCCCTCAGATCCTCTGCCCTCGCGTGGGGAGATTTCGGACAATGATGTGCACCCAGTTAGGAGGAAAGTTCGACAAACGGCCCACTGGCGCTTTCGTGCCGCCTTAAATGTTTCAGAAACTTAATCCAACAACCGGGGCTCGGATCCACGAGCGAGATATAAGTGACGTGACGAGACGCGACGCGATGTGGCTTCTAATTAGCAACGAGGGTCCCTTGGCGTGAAATTATGCGCCGAATAAATAATCGAGGGCGTCACGTGACCGGGCCGATCTTTGGTTATTCATAGAAGTGCCATGGGGGATCTATTAAGGCCGCTCGATTTTTAACTCGCGCTTTGCTCGGCTCCAATTCCCTTTGTATGTTTCCAATCGGTGCACGGTAGTCCGGACAGGAAAGGAAACTACTCGTTCGTCCTGAAAACTCTCTAAAGTGAGATTTTCAGTTCGTCGGGTCTTCCCGATTCGGTGGAGGGAAATCCGCGGTACTCCCGGATTCGTTGAGACCGTCTTGGGAAATTTCCGTCCCGTTTCGGCGAACTCGAAACCACGGTAAACCCCCTTAAAGGGGGGGGCTTTGGTCTTGGGGACGGAATACCACGAGATACTGCCTCTTTGGAGTGTTGCAAGCACGTCAGGCAAAGTAGTTTCGAAAAGCGGTGCCTTGGGCTTGGGGGGGAAACTCCGTGACAAACGAGACCTTCCCTGCAGTCCCGGAAATAGGAATATGCCTGCGATAATGACTTATGCTAATCGGGAAACCGCGGAATTTGGCGCGTCGCGGTCAGCGGCTTGCATTAGCTTCGTAAGTAGCGAATTTTTGCCGGGGGTCGGCGTGCAGTCTTGCCAGGATATGAGAAAGAAATTATCCCTAGGGACTGGGAAGGAGGCTGCGAGTGGAATGGCCGGATAATCGAGGGAACGGGGGAGAAAAAAAATGCACGGTTATACGGGAGTAATGGCGCCGTTGTCCTAGATGTCGCGATGCGGTTTCCTGCTGCTGGAAGCTGGCCTCGGCTAAAGAGGAGACTTCCTTCCCGCGACTCTTCGTGGCCTGTTATCGGTGCAATGGGGCGCACTTAATTGCGAGGCCAGAAGTCAAAGTCGATGTTATGGATGGGAAAGGGTTTCGGGCGATTCTTTTCATTTCTCTTTTCTTTTTTGTCATTTCGCTCTTCCTAGGCGAGATTGGGAGAAATTGAAATTGTCGACGAGACGCTTTCCAGGGAAGTGATCCATTTTAATTCCATGATTTTTAAGGTGAGATCGGTAGAAATGGAAGGAAAAAAAAAAGAAAAGAAAATATCGACGAGACACTTTCGAAGGATGCAATTTTGTAATTCCACCCTTCACAGGCGACACCGGAAGAGGTGAAAATTATTCTCGGTGGGTCGTTTATGGGAGAGTAGGTTTCTTAATCTCACACCTTCGGGGCTAGATGGATGAAAGTCGAAGTTATCAATGGGTTGTTATCGGGGAAGATCGATTTCTTTTTCATTCTACACTTTCGAGGCGATAACAGATCGTCGTCGAAGTTTTTATCAATGGAGGGCAAAGGAAGAGCGGTTTTTTTTGGCCCTATCCATTCGAGGCGACCACACAGAGTGCACTTTAGCGGTGCACTGTACGTAACTTCGGCCTCGTATCTAACAACGCGATCAAGCCACGATCGATAGTGCTAATGCCGCGAGTTCTCGCAGGACCGTCTGAAATAACAGCGCAGGATCAATCGAGTCGACTGATGTGTCAAAGGTGGGCCGGAAATGCACCCGGCGATGCATTTCCGAGGACAAGGACTCGCCGAAGGAGGAGGAAGATCGACCTCTTCTCTTCGGGGTCGAGGTCCCGTTCGAGGACTCGAAGTTCGTCCATTTTCGAGGCGCACTGTACATTGTAGTATCGAAACTCGTGACGGTCGTGCTGTTCCGTGCGTGACACGGAAGAAAGTCCCTTTCCCCATCGCCCTGAGGGGCATGTTCCCTTTCTTTCCCCCCTCTTGCCACGCAAAAGGTGCACCAGGGACGCCGCCGTGTTTCGGGCATTTTAAATCGCGTTTGGACCGCCTTGGCACCTTTCTTCCTTGGCCGTTTATTTCGCCTTCGTTTTTCTTCCCTCGTGGCTCCGCGGGATGCTCCTTCGCCATCGCTTAAACATTTTTGGCACTCCGCTTGGGAGGTGAATCCAAATTGAATTCCACCTCCTTGCTCGTGAGCGGAATCCTGCGGGGTAAGAATTATCGCACTTTGCTGGGAATCGCGAGGTCACCGGCTTTTTAAACGGGGGAATAAAGTATACGAGATGGATCACGACGATGGATTGAAAATTCGGAGCCGTTTTTACGGGGATTTAGGGCTTGCGATTTTTCAGATTACTACAATTTTCGCGATTTCCACGATTTTTCGCCCGGTGTTCTTTTGCCTCTTTTTCTTTTTTTTTTGGCTCGGGCCGCATTTTTAAGACTACTTGAGCTGAAGTGAAACTCCCTTCAAATCAGTCGATTCGAATACAACACTTTTTTTCAAGGGTATTAGACCAAACTGTCCGAAACTTTGACACGTCACTCCTGATCATATAAGAGTTGTCCTGACAAATTCAAATTTTGGATTTTTGGAACAAATTTTTTAACAGGCCAGACCATAACCAAAATGGCGTCGAGCTCTCATATTTCGATCAATATATAATTATCGAAGGCTCTGATATGAGAAACGAAAGGATCAGGACAATTTTACGACAATTTAGAACACTCTGGTAATCAATAAACTCGCATTTGAGCGAAATGAAGGCAA